CTTCGCGCCTCGCTTCGACGTCCGCGAGACCTCGGATGGCTACCACCTTGATGGCGAGCTGCCCGGTATCGCCCAGAAGGATGTCGACATTGAGTTCTCCGACCCTCAGACTCTCGTGATCAAGGGTCGCACTGAGCGCGAATACCACTCCTCGGACAATGACGAGGCCCAGAACACCCCTACCCCGGAGAACACCAACAACAACAACCAGGGTGAGGGCAGCGCTGTCGTCCCCTCTGGCGACAAGCAGGTCTCCAAGAACAAGTCCAAGGCCAAGCACCACTACTGGGTCAGCGAGCGCTCCGTTGGCGAGTTCCACCGCACCTTCTCCTTCCCTACTCGCGTCAACCAGGACGCCGTCAAGGCTTCCTTGAAGAATGGCATCCTCTCCATCTTCGTGCCTAAGGCGGCTGCTCCTTCTTCGAAGAAGATCACCATCGAGTAAAGGATGATCGATCGGTGGTGCGATGAATAACGACTTGATGATGGGTTTCGAAATTGTTCCATAGCGCGTGATCGTTCTACTCTGTTGTCTGTTATCTTCATTCCCTTTTGCTTCTGATCTGAGCCAGAATGTCGGGGGCCTAGTGTCTAATAGTGGAGGTGTGCATTCTCAGTCGTTGCTGGGTTTTCGCTCCTTTTCTAGTGTTGTTATCCTAGTAATACTATACATTAATTCAATCCTTGAGTTCTCTCTTTCACTCCCTTTGTAGTACTCATGTAGAAGTAATGACTCGTGTTGGTAATCTAGAACATCGCAATCAATTTCAACATTGCCATCTTATACTATCGCCCCTCTATTTGTTCTGATATCCAGCGGTGCTTGTCTGTCGTGGTAGTTGCCGCTATCGCCAAGCCCGGTGTCGACTGGCGCGTCGCTTGTGCCGCCACTGCAGTGAACAAACGCAGCCACTCACCTGCTGTTATATCCGGCTAAATAATATTGGTGGCTTAATATTGATGTAAATTATGCGATCCTATGTGAAGGGTGGAATATATCGAGTTCCCTTCATACAGTGCGTTGTGTTCTTGAGCCTACTGAGGGGGTCCCGAACAATATATATCTCTACGGCATCTCCTGGACGAAAAGCGAAACCAAACAAAAGTGCAAATTGCAGCGAAGATACCGGGTTACAGTTAATAATCACCCGCATATGGTCTATATATGTACAACAATACTCAAGATAAGCGTTAATTGTGACGATATCTTGAGCAGCAGCTCGATCTACAGCATATGATGTGGGATATAACAATTGCTCTACATAGCAAAAGATAGAGGCAAATGATATCTCCAATCCTCGATGGTCTAACGGTCATGATTTCCGCTTGTCAATCCCTTTCGGGAACAAGCGCGGGAGACCTGGGTTCGACTCCCAGTCGGGGAGATTCTTTTTTCCACTTCCATTTTTTTTGCCGGCTCCATCGCGTGTTTTTTTTTTATCTACCGCACTCCGGATTTACCCGGTCGCGCTGCATGCGATCTTATCTCTCGGCGCCATGTGTGATTACATTTCTTTTATTTCTATTCATTACTACTGTTTTGTTTCTTTTTCCTTATGAGGATTTTGGAAGATTGTCCATTAAAAATTAAGATGGCCTGTGATGCTAGAACGTCTCAATACCACACCAACATGCTAAGAACGCCCGTAAACACCCGTCAACTCAACGACTCTGCCCCATAGGCCGCAGCGAGACTACCATCCTCATCAAAGAACGAGATTCCATGTAAATACTCAACTAAAAGGGCAGCATTAGATCCTATGTGGCTGTTAGCAGCTGCAACCCCAGATAGCCTCCCACAATGCATGTCACAATGACCTACTCGCACCGGGATGGCCCTGCCATATGAGTCTCGACAACCAGAACGCCGCCTCGGTGGCAATGCCCACCATCCAAGGCGACATCGCATCTCCAAATAATACTCCGGATTTGCGACCAGCAGCAATGTACATGACAGTCACCACCATAGCAAAGCCGCTAACAACCTCAGCAATATATGCGTTGCGTATCGAAACCCCTCCACGACTGATGATACACCCTATATCAAACCCTGTGCTACCGTATGCTTCTTGCACAGCCCACACTGCCAGGACAATTCCAATAACCTGTCCACCAACATACATCGCAGCCCGTGTTAAAGTTATCCGGCGAAGAAAGTACGCAGCGAATGTAATACTCGGATTGACATAGCCGCCAGTCGAGCGCGCAAAGGTAAAGATGATCAAAGGGAGTAGGCACACATTGACGATACTCGCGGGCAAGAAGCGGACCCAGTCGTAATTGTTCATGCTGTAGTAGGAAAAGTTACCGGGGTCGTCTCGATCTTTGGAGGTGGGTGCAATCGTCACCCAGGTCAACATGAACGTGTACATCATGCTGGCTGTGTCTCTGCATTAGCGCTTCATACAACGGTAGTAATATCGATCTTAGGGTCGCTGTCTCACCGAGACATTCTAGTATCGTGCACCTCCACATGTCAATGCTTGCCAAGCACTTCCAGACTGGCATTTCTGTATCGGTTTGGACAGTTTTTTGATAGCCATCGGGATGGGTCTGGGGGAAGGGTGCGATGCCGTGCGCTGGCTTTTCGCGACAGCCACTCTTCTCTGTCTCAGGTATCATAATGTTTGAAGAACAAACAACGCAGCCATGCACATGGTCAACGTCCCAAATGCAACAGTAAGTGAAGTATGAAGTCGATGTGGTTTGCTCGGCGGCCGGCGATTGCCGACCCGAGGAAAGTGGATCGCTGATATGAGAAGTCCTTAGACAATGGGTTGTTATCAATCACAAATAGGAATGACACTGTACCTGAACCTACAAATTGAGCCAAACACATCTAATGCCCTTCTTCTGGTTGTTGCCTTTCGGGTTCTTTCGGATTCATGGAATAGTCTTTTACCATATTCAGTAAGTGACCTAACCGTCGAGATGACATCTGGTCACCAGCATAGCAGGTGACGGGTATCTATTCAGAGCGAGCAATGCTTCTAATTGAAGATAAAAACCATTGAAATACAAAAACAGAATGATATCACAGGAACAAGAAAGTCAGGGAAACTTGCGATGAGGGGACAACATGCTGCCTGAACACGTTGTGCTACCTCTATCGCATCAATGTCAAAGAAGAAGAAGAAATGAAGGGAAAAAATCGCCATATCCAAGTGCTCAAGGCATGCTTATGCCAACGCTGGGAAAGCATACCTCTCAATCCCACTACTGCGTGGGAATGAAGAAGCTTACCAGCTAGAGCAACTGGAGGTAGCCGTCGTCCAGCCAGTGAGACGGTTGGCGATATCAGAGGCGTAGCAAGAAGTGGCGCCGGAGGCAAGGTCCAGGTTGGTGGTGGACTTAAGGGAGTTTATGCCAGAGTTGTACAGTCTGGCGGCACGGTAGTAGGCTGCAACACCAGTCCGACCGGCCAGGTCCAGGAGAGAAGCGAGGCCATCACCACCACTGGCGGAAGTTCCGATAGCTGAAGTAGGAAGGTGTGATGTTAGCAGAGAGGAAAGGCAGGTCTCTAAGGGATCACAACGTACCTCCATCGCGGATCATCTGGACAATCTCCGAGTCAGAGCAGGTGCTCTTTCCAGCGCAAGTACCGGTACCCTGGTGACTCTGCATGAGGCCAGGGTTGCCCACACCGTTGGCGGTAGTCGGGACCCGGACACAGCCCTTGGATTCCTGCAGAACCACGGCCAGAATGAAGCGATGATCGACCTTGGACTCCTTAGCGACCTTCTCAATGGCGCTCTTGATGTTTGCGGTCTCGGTCGCCGAGTTGTCCTGGCCCCAGCCATTGTTGGAACATGACTTGGCTATGATAGAATCCTTGTTGGCCTCCCACCTAGAGTAGTGTTGGTTAGTATAACGAGTGCTTTAAGCGACGAATGAATAAACTTTGAACAGGGGGTCTCGAGCATACATCGCATCGAAGGAAAGCCAGTCGGACTTGGCGGGCCATCCATCAGCCGTCGAACCATCGCCGGTGTACTTCTTGTAAGAGTTCGAGCCCGAGCTCTTGCCAACACTGTCGTTGACGCTAGAGACAGCCAATGCGCTGACGGTCACCACTGCGTTGGTGGAACGGGAGGCCAAGTGCTCTCCCGCCTCGACCTCCAGGGTCCGAGTTCCCAACGGAGCGGCAGCCGCGATGCCGGCAAGGGAGCCGACAGCAAGGTACTGTGGGATTGAAGTTAGTGATGCGTTGCAGAGAACCGAATCTGTACAGTATGGCTACTCACGTTGAAGAACTGAGTGAAACGCATCTTGATAGAAAGGTATACGAATAGGAATGGGTTAATGAATGGGACAAATATGAATGATTGAGTGCTCTGCAAGGAGTGTATGTGATGGAAGGAATGTGGTGAAGCTAGTCAATAGCTTCTGGATAAACTGTGAAAAGACTGAAAAAAAAAAGGAAGGACTGTCGAAATCGACTTGAATGCTGTGAAATTGCTCTGCTTGGATAGAGACATCTTGGAGCAGCACACTCGCGCTCTTTATACAGGCTGGCTGCATGGCTTCTCTTCAGCCCCTCTCAGGAACAGAAGGTGTGAAGGATTGTGAGTGGCCCCAATTTGCAGAGGCTGCTCCAAGGCATCGTTGGTTGGATACTACCTGTGAACGGTGGGCTGAGTGACTTGAGGGGTCCGAGCAAATCAGCGACGATATCCGGTCATCACCAACGGCCCGCTAGTTTAGCTGCCAATCGGCGCTGACGTGTGAGGGTACAAGATGATGGATACTGCCATCACGCCTACCCAGTTCTGCCATCAGGATGCATCCGAGAGGCCCGTCCAACAGTTACATGATGCGGAAACCTAAGATCGTGCGGCATAACGCCGACGACATTGATCCACCGGGGGTATATTCCCAGACCAGTAGAATGGAGAGTCCTCCCTCCAAGATCATGATTAGCGCAAGAAAAAAGCCCGAGAAACCATGTGCACAAGGCCGAGAGAGCCAAGCTCAGCGAGCGTCCGTGTTGGCCGAGCCCACGAGAGCCATCATTGGAGGAAGTCTCCACCCCGCGGTTGTCGCAAGTTCAGGCGCGAGAAACCAGTGAGAAAGCTGAAATGGCCAACGTTAGGTTTTGCATGGGTCTCCGCGAGTCGGAAAGGGGAACCGAGAGCACACACTGCCTGTGCCAAATAGCATCATCGACTGGAGGGACACGTCCACTGTGCGAGTTCAGGCAGACACGTTCGGGCTGAGGCCGAACTAGTGCGGGGCCGAAATCTTCATCAATTCGTGATTTTCAACCTTCACCGAGACAAACACACACCGACTTCCAGAAATCTTCTGTCTGAGATGCACCCCGAGGAAGAAAAGAAAAAAAAGTCATACAGTATATACTCAAGCCTTGTGTGCGCTGGATTTCTTCGTCTCCGCGATATCGCATCGACGCGCTCTCTGAGACTCGAGAGTCACACATGCTAACAGCCCTAAGGCACACAGAAATCTCCCAAGAAACTTTGTAGAACAGCCATATAGTGCAGTGGAGAGATGCCCCTATTCAGCATTGGCACTGTGTGACGGAAGGGGCCGGTTTCAGCTTCCAGGGATTGAGTTGTGTTTCAGATGGTGGCCGTGGCGATCCAATCTGGGGGCAGAGAACCAACATCTCGGCTTCCCGTTCCTGCGTAGGTTATTCTCCGGGCGCCTCGATCGCTCATGGGAAGCTGACATTGGCAGATGGCGGATCCGACCAAGCGCTGTGGCGGTGGGTGGGGTCTGATGCTGCTGGACACGAGCGAGCACGCCAGCCGAACTCGTCTTTAGCGAGCCAATCTAGTTTGCCAGACTTTCCCTTAGCGTCGGACCAGAAGCTATCCAGATGTTACCCCCCCTTTCAGCTTCCCATCCCACAGCTGATATCCTCTCTATCGCTAACTCTGCCTCAAAAATCATATGGAAGGTATGCTTTCAAGTCTGATATTTATGAGTCATGTTGATTTTGACCCCCGACCTATCCAACGGCCTGTTCCGAGGGGTTCTAGTTCACACCTCCTCACCTGAAGATATTGGCATTGGACTATCCGCTCTCTCTGAAAACTTGCAAGTTGTAAGCCAAGTACTACTTGACAAATAGACATACATGAGGGCTTTTTGCCGTCTCACTGCCTCAAAGGATGATGCAGAAACTTCCTTGTCAAGTGCAAGTTCGGCCCCCAACACTTGACTCCATCCCGCTGGGGGCGTTCGTCATGACATGAAGATGTAATGCAGGAACCCTTCGTTAGAACCGGACGATTTTTCATTCGCTAGGTGCGCTACAATTCTCGGAGATACTCTCCTGGGCATTTCTTTGGCATATCGTTGGGGTTCTGGGCCACAACATTAGTGTATCGAGGGTCGTCCCGCAGTTGGCATCTGCAGATGCTGCAGTGACATTCCCAGGTTACGGGGTCTTAGCAAAAACTCCACCCAACACAGTGGGATCAACCGCGTTGTGGCTATGCCACTCCTTGTGCAATTTGTCATATGGTTATGCTTCTCAGGGGCTATTGCATTTGCTATTCACTTGACAACCGGGTTTTGCGACAAACAATTCTCCCCTTCTATAGTTAGACCTTCTGTTGTCAATGACTTAGCATGTCTCCTTCCTGCTACTCACTTCTTGGTCTTTCCTGCAGGAAATGCCAGCCATGTTTGCAATTCGATTAGACTGAGCTTGGAGGGTACTTTTGGCTCTGGGAAACTGATAAGACCGCGGTCGGAACCTGGTACGTACACCATGTTGTATTGACTGATTTGCACAATGGACTACGTCTTCATGTCAGTCATGCAATCTTGCAGCCACCGAATCTTGAATTGCGAGGTGTGTGTGTCTTCTTATCTTTCTGGTCTAAGCATCCTCTCTGTCTTTAAAAACCCGGAACAACATGCACACTTCTCCTGGGCTACCAACAGGCTTGCTAAGAGTTCTATCAGAGACATTTAGATCCAGAGAATTGTTCTTCCTGGCCGATGCTGTGTAGCTAACGCACCTCATATGGAAGCGAACGTGCCTAACAAGCTACAATCACCATTAAGATTTAGTACGCAACTGCGGATTGGTTCTGTGGAAATATTGGAGTGAATGTGGTTGGGGCCTTTGGCCTCTGAAGGCAGCTTGTTCTAGCCTTTTTCCCAGCCTCAAATAGTGTGACAAGTAACGACGAGACAATATCGACGCCCCTCGATAGATCTCCTTCACGGCTCTCATTCCCAGCCTACACTATGGTGCGCGACCATTGACCACTCCACCCTGAGGCGAAATGTGCTCACCGGTTTCATGGAGCATGTTGGAATGTGAATCCGGTAGATTACTAGTACCTCTTTGCATCTAGACAACACAATCAACTCCCATCAACTATCCAATCATTGAAGCGTCACTTATAACTCAACAGACTGGGTTTCCGCGGATGAGTATGGGCAGTGGGTGGGTTTTGGCGAGGCCTAGGCGGCCTATTCACCACGACTCTAGGCAGAAGGCAGCTACTGTGACTACAAAGAGCTGCGTCTACTTGCATATATAGAGAAGGATTATCACACTTGTACCTCAATCTAGGTCTCGACTTAGAGCGAGGGGTCAGGCTGAATGACATTCCTTTGAGTGCTTGTCCAACTCCAACATAAGGACTGTAGCCACCCCTAATCCTTCATTGCAACCAGAAACCCGTCGTAGTTCTTTTCTCCCACGGTCTGAATCGCCGTCGCCTCAACCCCTTCCATCTTTCCAATGGCCTCAATCAGTTCTCTCGTTCCCCTAACCCGGTCATCTGTCTCTGCTGCCTCCTCAGATACGACCGTCCCATTTCTCACAACGTTATCAACAACAATCACCGCCCTCTCCTTGGTAATACTCAGAGCGGCATTGAAATAAGCCAAATTGTCCGGTTTATTCGCGTCAATAAACACGAAATCGAATTTCTGCCGCTCGCCCCTACGCACCTGGTTCTCAATTTCCGTCAAAACAGTACGACCTGAGCCCTGCAAGATCTCAACCCTCTCGCTTAACCCAGCTTTGATCAAGTTCTGGCGCGCGACTGCCGCGTAGCGACTCTCGAGTTCGATCGTAGTCACTTTCGTGTCCGGGCTAGTCGTGGCTAACCACGCGGCACTATACCCGCCTAATGTTCCCACCTCAAGGATATGCTTTGCGTTGGCCATACGGGCTTGGAGCATGAGAAATTTGGCTTGCGGCGCGGAGCAGGCTATGTTTGGTAGGCCTGCGCTAAGAGAATCGCGGTGGATCGTTTCTAAGGCGCGGTGATAATTTGCTGAATGGAGATGCGCTTTGAAGTAGCTGTCTACATTGGCTGGGCGAGGGTCGTTGCCCCTTGGGAGTGCATCGTAGGCCTCGTGGGTTGAGTGGTACACAGGCTGAGGGGATTGCGACATAATTGTGAGAAGGTGAGAGCTTGATGGATATGTGTATGACTTGCTGTGAAAATGAAACATAAGAACTAAAGTATTGTAGGATGAGTCCTTGGATGAGTCACTCGGCAATAGATATCCCGTGCACACCGGTCACACGACCTGTTGCTAACATTATTAATAATCCCTGATAATGATAGTTAAGTTATTTTCATTACTCTTATACGTCTAACCCGGTGGTGTGGCTCAGGAAGAAAAATAATAATATAATAGATTAAAATTAGACCAGTCCGGAAGACCAGAATCATTCAGGATTATAGTAAAATCAATGTAGTAATATACTGAGATTACATTCCAACAGTTGTTATAATTACGGGCAGTCAAAGGCCGATAACGGATGAAGCTCTTTTAGCTCAGGCCTCCGGGTGTTACGCTCCCGCATAACCACAGTTACTACATTGGCACGCAGGGACCGCGTGTTATAAGAAAAGCCTTCGGACTTCCGAAAATCAAGGGCTTGGTGGAGTAAATGCTGACAGATGCCAGCCTGTGATCCTTCTATCTCTGCCCTCCACAAATGAGAGGCCCAATTCCCTGGCCTAGCCAGTCAAACAGGACCCACGGCATCCTGGTGGTTCTACTTAATGCTGTAGTGCTGCCAGGAAACCTGGAAATCATAAAGTTGCAGTCTCCACATTTCAGATTTGCTTAGCATGTCCCTCTTTCAATGTAGGTCTAAAATGACCCCGATCGATAGCACTGAAGTTTTGACAGCCGCTCAGCCTCGCGACATGCACGAGCAATGGTCTACCCTTCGCCGGTATATAATGCAGGGTCTTCCTTCCAGAGTTGGTGCAATTCACAGCTTTCCTTTTCTCTCTCTCCTAAAGATTTAGTATCGGATTGATCACGACCATGGCTGAGTCTGATACCGTTGTCTCAGTCGCAAGTGACCCTGCGTCATCCAATCAAGCTAAAAAGGGCCTCAAGGCGAAAGAAGAAAAGATTGGAATAACCTCTCACTGGACCTTCATACTATGGAGCTGGTTTCTACTCACAGTTCCCCTCTCATCACTGACAGCTGTCTTCCTCGCACTGGTCTTCAGCTACCGGATTGGCCATGGAGACTCGCCATTTGAGAACCTCCGCGTGGGCCTCGCAACAGAAGGTTCATCAGATGCGTACTATGTCAACATGAACTCAAGTATCCTTCTATTTGTGACGTCGTGGGCTAGCACCTTGGCTCCCATGCTGTCGGGCTTTCTCATCACCCTTGCGTCGTTTCCCATCGCCAAAAGGTACCTCGAGAACATACAACAAGGACGTTTTGAACGGCTACCTACTCCGTATCAATTGACGCTTATGCTCAAGTTCTTTGACGGGGGCACTTTGGGAGCAACCTGGAGCTGGATTGTGTACCTCGTCTCCTGGAAAAAGAAGCGCCAGCCTCAGACTCCCACGCTGTTCTCAGCCGCCTCTGTGGCTTTGCTAGCGACATTACTTGGGTATGTACAGCGCTAAAGCATGCACCCCCATAATATGTTTTGTCCGTTGTCTGATCAGTTTCAGAGCGTTGGTTTCCTTGGCAGATACCTGGCTTCACTTGACTACGACAACTGTCTCCTTCACTCGTGCTACTGTCGCCACAAACAATACCGACTACAGCTTTGGCCTGACCCCCCAGTGTCTGAAAGGCAACAACTCGGTCGCAGCACAGGAAGATACTGGTCTATGCAGTGTCTCGATGGCTGTCACGGGCCAATTCCTGGCGAATGCAACTGTTAGCCTCGGCGTGCTCAACAATGTCTCTGATTTTGCGACCGTGTACACCTACGACAACAACAGTACGATGTACAGCTACCTAGGAATACCAGACGGGACTGCCTCTGTGACCGACCGGGATTATGAAGCTCAAACATATGGTGCTGCGACGCAGTGCGAGTTGTTCTCCAAAAGATGCAACCTGACCGAAGTGACGACTTCTCTCCGATACAATTGCTCGAGTGCCTTTGCCGGCTTCATCGACTCTACCGAATTAATCACAGGCTTCTTCACGGACTCCAGCATGACCACTGACATCGAGGACAACGAGACGTCCAACTATGGAACTGGAAACCCATTTTACTACGTGATCGCCGGCGTACTAAGCACCTCCGGTGGGACCGTTCCCAACTCGACAGAGTTCGTGCAGAACGAGTCCGGCGTGTATGGCTACGTTCTCGGCTGCAACACCACGATTTACGACATCGTGTACGATCGCGTCAATAACTCCGTAACCCGCTTTGTACCCACCGACAGCAACACCTCAGTATCCAACATCTGGCAGACGAGTATCGCGCAGACCGTCGACTGGGAACCGTCCATCGAGCTGGAGATCGGGGCCGCAGCGTTTAGCCAAACGGGCCAAGAGTTCGCGGACAAGATCGCCCAGTCACTCAGCAAGGTGATTCTGGCCCTGGGAGCAGACGGGGTTGAATCACGCCCAGCACTAGCAGCCCAGCAGAGGGAGACTTCCCTTGTATCGCGGGTTCCCATGGCTCCACTCTTCACCTTGGTTGCCGTGAACTTCTTGTATGTCATCGTGGGCTTGATTTTTGCTGGAATAGCTATCAAGACCGCACGAGGAGCAGTCCCTGATATCCATGCTCGGCTTGGAATAACGGGTCTCGTAGCAGATCGGTTCGAGGACCCTGGATCGAGCAAGGAGGTCCATTCTGCTGATGACATGTTTGAAGAGTATGCCGGACATCCGAGCCGACGGGTAGCTGTGGAGCCGGAGGATGAAGATGGGGTGTATGTGTTCAAGAGTTGGGATACATCTAAATCGAGTTCGGTGGAAGTGAGGGAAGGGTCTGTGGCGGTTCAGAGACCTGCGCTGAGTGGTGAGGCTGCTTGATTCTATAACCATCTGTCATAGATATAGACCATCCAAGTAAAGTGGCAAAAAAACTTTTAGTTGGCTTTATTTCTTCCGATTTTTCTAAATTTCGCCTAACTTGAACAGCGCTACTATCCATAATCACTTTCGATGAATCACTTCATCACTAGAAGATGTCACAACCACAAACAGCGTCCTAGATGACTACTACTATCGGCTATACCCGTCTACCCGATCCCTTTCGATTATCCCCAGATGATTGGTGCTCTCGGTTACTCAACCACCCGAAGGAGTCCCACGGCGCATCTTTTGGCCCCTAAACCCCCGGGCCGCAGCGAATCATGAAGAGTTTAGAATCCGTCAGGATCACACCAAGCCTCATCGATCGGCCAATCGACTGCGGCTCAGCCGCTTTCTTCTCGACTTCCAAGAAGCTGGTCAATTTCCTTGGTCTACGATAGCACTTTTTATAGCATTCTTTTCATGAATGCTCGTTTAGCAGTGACTGCTTGATCCTGTGGAGACACGTCAAAGGCAGGGGTCCTGCAAGGCTGTGGCTAGAAGCTGAATTTCGTATCCTGGTGGGCTGATATTGGGGAGAAGCGAGAGGGGGGAAAGTGCAGAGTTAGGTAGGTGATGGGGGAGAGTACTTCATAGTGTGTTTTGATACCTGATTCACTACTATGTAGCGGGGTCTTAGAATGATAATTAACGATGGCCACAAGCTATAGGTGATGTTTTGGAAGGTATACTTGGTAGTTAGAGCAGAGTTTTCTTCTCCATCACAGATGACTTGAATTCAGAGCTTATACTTGCGCATCAAAGTAGAAATAGTTGCGCCAGAAGAATATATTATTTTTGACCTTGTCCTGATTAATCCTGTTCAGAGACCCTGCCACGCGCAGTTTGACCGTTGTAAGAGCAAAAATATCTATTTCCAGAGTATGGAATGTGAGGATCTCAGTGAGTGAGTCTCCGAATCTGGTTCTCACGTGGGTCTGGTTCCACATACTGGACTTGCCCGAAACAGAAGAACTAAACAAACTCTGCTAGCCCAAACGGGCAGGAGAAAAGCTATTTTGAGAACCGTTGGAAAAACTTTGTTTGTCGTTGTTTCTAGAACAACCATGCAATGCATACTGTACAACATATGCACTATTCAGTGCAGAACGATCTACAGAGGGTCTGAAAGTAACTGGTGAGTGCTTGTCGCTCGGCCATCCCAAGTCAGGTATCGGCCAAGGGGTGCCAGCCTCAATTGGATAGTAATACATGGCAAATTGGGCAGGCCACGCGCCAAGACATCAAAAAGGGCAGAGACGTAGGACTGATGGTACATATGTTCGTTGATGCGTTCAGTGGATTTCATTTGCGACGTGCCATGCGAAACGTAGGATGGCGGACCAGTCGAGAGAGATGCTCTGGCAACAGACAAGGAAATTTTGTCGAGGACGATAATAGAGGTATAAGACGAACCGAACCCGCCCAAACTCCAAAGACCGGATAGAAAAGAGAAATTGAACAAAGGCTGATAGTAGGCAACGGAGTAACAGAGAAAGAGCTGAAGGTCAGGGTGGGGGGAGAATAAAAAGAGTAATAGAGCAGAAGGAGAGGAAGAGAGAGAGAGAGAGGGAGGAAGGATAGGTCCAGCCCTGGTAGCACAACGTCGAGATTGGTGTGCCAATGATGCTGCAGATCATCCGTGGTCATGCATCATTCCAGTCTCGTACCGCCGCGGCTTCTTTAGCATCTCGCTTTTTGTTGCGATAGAGGAAATAGCAGCATACAGAAACTGCGATGAGGAAGAATCTAGGGACCGTTGTTAGCCTGTCCAAGGTTGCGGGCTCCCATGAGGCGCGGTTTTGAAGAAGCCACCACGCAGTACTCACATGCCAACGATGATGCCCGGCACACCGCTCTTGAGGAAATTGCTGACGGGCTTCTCGCCAGACGAGGAATCCGAGTCGTCGCGTGCCCACAGAGGCATCGCAATGGCGACTGCGCGTCTGGAAAGAGAGAGGACCTGGGATGACTCCATTTTGATGGGACTTGATATGCAAGTTCCGGGGAACGGCAGAGCCGTAGGGGAAGAGACGGGGAGGGGAAAGATAAAAAAGGGGACGTGAGGGTCGCGTCCTGAAGCGCTGGGAACCTGTTCTCGCCCTCAAAAGGGGATAAGACATTGCCAGGACTAGTGGCTTCAGCACGGACCAACAGGGGGTGTGAATGCGGAATGCTGTTTGGTCCAATTCACGGCCTGGTGCCCCTGGGCGGTTTTAGATTGTGGCCGGGAATAGTTTCATCCCCTTGCCAACTGTCTGTCCACCAGCGGCCTCTCCATTCCCCACTGACCCATTCTCTAAAACCCTTTTAAGGTGTCTTGGGGTTTCGAGCTGTAGCAGAGCTAGGTACTAAACCTGGAGGCGATCAACCAGGCGCAGTCTTCTTCACTGAATCAATTGTTTCGAGCTGAGGCTTTGCGGTCTCAACCTTGAAGCTGCCTGGACCGATTTTTCTTTTTTTGGGCTTTTGCCCCTGACATTTCCCAATTAGGCAACCGTGTTTCACCTTGAGGTTGACACCTGAGTGCCTGAGGCAGATAATATCTTTTATGTATGACGGAGCTAACCGCATCTGGGCAGCCCAGTCATGTGAGCCCAAGTTATATGATGGATTCGGTAAGATGACTTGGAGAGGGAGAGATAAAAATAAGCATTTGGAGAGAGGGATGGGTCACATAAGGTTAATCAATACCCCGACAGATGAAGCACTTGCCTCCTACCTGTGACTTATTTTTGGTACTCGATCTCTGAGAATTTGGTGGCTGGGTGGACAGCCTTGGCAGCAGAGTCACTTATGCAGCGACAGTTAGACTCCTACGAGGGCAAATGGAGAGACAAGATATCTAGCTGCCTGAGTTACCAACTTGGTGCATCAGGTGGAGATTTTCAATGCCACGGCTGTCTTTGTAAATCTAGACTGCTTCTGTATTTAGAAACATTTGAGACTTTTGGTGTCAACTGATGAGTTAGTCCCTGTTGGTCTAGAAGTCGGCAGTTAGTGCCACAATTCCTACCACCATAGCCGTCTACAGTATTTCTGAATCAGGTAACTCGAAATAACACAGCCGAGCTTCAAGTCGCTACAAGACGTATTGCATTATACTTCAAAAAGCATGGACACCATGGCGCGGGATGGTCTCCCTCCTCTCACATTGCCCCGCTCCGAGGGAGAGGGAGAGGGGGTCCGGCGTCATCTTGCCTGCCGTCCACTTGATAAATCCACGCTTCAGACGCCATAGATGACTGAATCTATTGTTCTGGCAATTCTGAGAATCGACATTACCCTTTACTGCCTTGATAAGATTAGTGGGCTATAGAGGTTCAACAGTGATCTCGAGGGATCGCATTAAAGATGTTGGCATTCCCGGAGTGAAGCCGAAGCGCGCGGATATGGAAGATATTTCCTTCCCCGCACCTGCAGGAATTCTGCATACAGATTGGCTTATCCACCTTATCCGATGTTTTACCGGGAATGGACTCTCTTGCACTGACACCGATCGACAGTTTGAGTTAATCAATCTTCGGGTTGATACGAAACCGACACTTGCCGTGGTGAGTTCATGACTTTTCCCGCATGCGGTCGGCCGCCACCAGGATGACCAGCCAGGTGGACATATTCTTCCTTGTGTTCTATTATATCCCAGACCAAGGCGCCAGGCATACCTCTACTTCAGGCATTAAGCTCTGTCTGCTGGGATTCTAATATGGCACCCTTTCCAACTATTGTCTTCGTGCCGGGCGCATGGCACAGCCCGGAATGTTATCGCAGAGTGATCGACCAACTCGAAGCTGCGGGGTACGAGACGGACCTCGTCCATCTTCCCTCCGTGGGACCAACCCAGCACTTACCAGACTTCTCTGCCGATGTTGCCGAAATACGAAGCCATCTAGAGCACCTAGTCGATGCCGGCAAGACGGTCGTGCTCGTGGTACACTCTTACGGAGGAGTGCCTTCGAATGAAGCCGTCAAAGGGCTTGACTGCGGTAGCCGGCAAAGTAACGGTCAAGCCGGCGGCGTGGCTCATATCTTCTTCTGCTGCTCGTTCATTATCCCCGAAGGAAAATCTCTCCTCGGCGCCTTTGGGGGCAACGACTTGCCGTGGTTCACTGTTTCTGCTGATCGCCTGGAGGTCAATCCAGACAGACCCGACGAGATATTCTACAATGACATTTCGGAAGAAGATGTCCGTGCGGCCGTCAGATCTCTAAAGCCACACAGTTAATGGACTTTTCGCAGTCTCTGCACATATGCTGCCTGGAAAGAGGTGTCCAGTACCTACCTTTACTGTGCCAAGGATGCTGCTATCCCCTTAGAGCTCCAGAGAATGATGGTGGAGGATTGGGCGGCAGGTTATCCCATCCGCACGGAGTTCCTCGATGCCTCCCATAGTCCATTCTTCTCGAAGACAACCGAAGTAACAGCTGCTATCAGAAGAGCAGCTGGTGAAGAAGTTTAACTATGAAAGGTTATGTGACGTGATGACATGTACACCTGCTGCTTATGACGTGGCTGGAATAGCCTCGCCGATGGCAGTTCTTCACTGTATATAGAGACCAATGCATGTTGAACAAGGTTTCCATATTGATGCTTCACAATGAACTTGAGTGGCATGGCTTTTGATTGAAAGACTGGCAAAATCCGACCAGCAACGGAACCCACCTACGATTGGGGCATCGCCATTTGATATTCACTTTCACTTTTTACTCCCGAGTACTCCTAATAGGGCGCCGATAGCAGTGAATGGTGCTGCGTTTCAACCCTAAAGGATAGAAGACAAGGTCCCCCTCATATTTGAACCTCACCATCGGCGAATTTTTGCTGTCATCAAACCCCTGCTCAGTTTTTGTACTACTTCCAACCGTATGTCCCTGTGAGGTCTTTGCTAAGTTACACTTTTAAAGCTACTTCGGCTTATTTCCAAATTCAGAGTCCGGCGTACTACCCCGAACCCTATGAGATGTTAAAACCCGGTTCCGAGCACCAGTGGCGCCCAACACCCCAACAACCTGGTTTGCCTAATGCTTACTTGCATGAAGAGAAGATTAGTCGACCGAGAAAGGACTTGCACTTTCTCTCAGCATCATGCGCTCCCCACCAGGAAGGATCATCAGCCCCTCTGGCCCGGAAAGCAATGCCTTGCAAAATGGCTCAGGTTGAGCTCGGTGACCAGGAGACGAGCCTCAGCACTGGAACTGAGGAGCATGAGCGCCAGAATGACTATGAGGTTTGCTGGGAGGAGGACGATCCGGCGAACCCGCACGCCATGGCATCGAAGCGCAAATGGGTCATCGTGAGTCTAGTATGCACCATGACAGTGTGCGTATGCGTCACCAGCTCGCTCTACACGACGACATACAATCAGATCATGGCAGAATTTCATTGCTCTAGGTCCGTCGCAACCCTCGGATTGAGTTTCTACATTGCTGGACTGGGATGGGGACCTTTAGTGATGAGTCCATTGTCGGAGTTCTACGGCAGAAGACCCATCTACCTCGTTTCGCTTCCTCTATACGTCGTCTTTCTTATACCCTGTGCTGCTGCCCACAACATCCAGACAATGTTAGTTGCGAGGTTCTTAGATGGACTCGCGGGGGCGGCATTCACCTCGGTCGCGGGGGCTACCGTGGGCGACATGTACACCAAAAGCACCCTGCATACTCCTATGCTGCTATACACAGCTTCACCATTGTATGAAACCCATTGTTTTGGTTTCTGCTTTGCAACTAATGGCTTTGCAGCACGGGGGCCAGCATAGGACCCATCCTGGGCGGGCTAATAAATACTTGGGCCTTATGGTAGGCGATAAATCTCCCATGAGGTCAAGAAAAAGTCCAGCTCATTCCGTCTAACGGGTAATACAGGAGGTGGTCTTTTTACTTCTTACTCATTTGGTCAAGCATCCAGTCTATTCTTGTCATTATCTTCGTTCCGGAGACATACGCGCCAGTGCTGCTTCGAAACAGGGCTCGCAAATTGCGGCAGGAAACCGGCGACGATCGATGGATAGCAGCAATTGAAAAGCTGGAAAGATCTGTCTTCAAGGTAAATCATGGTTCACTTTCTTCGTTGGTAGATGACTGATCAAGAGTCTGAACTAGACAGTCCTTCATTCCCTGTATCGACCATTCATGCTACTTTTCCTGGAGCCGATGTGTCTCAATCTCTGCTTACTTTCGTCCATTGCTCTAGGCGTCCAATATCTCTTCTTTGGAGCATTCGGGGTTGTGTATGGCAATGCGTATAATTTCGGATCATGGCAGTCGGGACTGGCATTCACTGGTCTCCTGGTAGGGATGATCATGGCGGTCTTGATTGACCCATGGTATGTGACGACCAACTAGATGTATACGGGCACATCGTCTTGCATCTTGATATCAATCTGGGACTAAGAGCTGGGCAGGTGCTGCAAACTATACCCCTACTTCTCCCGCGGTCACAAAGAGGAAGGAAATAATGGGAGCAATGAGCCGGAAACTCGTCTACCCCCCGCTGTCATCGGAGCTCCACTCATGACGATCGGGTTATTCTGGTTTGGATGGACAGCGTGAGTACATGGATTCTCGACTATGACGTGGCAAATGACTGAAAGGCAATAGCTTGCCCTCAGTCCATTGGATTGTACCTATCATCGGAAGCGCCGTGTTTGGAGCCGGGTAAGTTGACACATCTCGGAGACTGGATGCCTGACGCTTCCGCTGACATCATTAATAGAATGATCTTCGTATTTCAAGGTGTCTTTACCTTTTTCGTGGATGCGTATCCATTGTATGCAGCCAGTGCTCTTGGTGCCAATAGCTTTACCAGGAGTACCTTTGCAGCTGCTTTCCCTCTCTTTGGCGTGGCGAGTAAGTCATCTCACTCTTGTTAGGCTTTTTGACACAATCGCTGACAGTTACATCACACTACTAGTGTACCATAAGTTGGGCGATCAGTGGGCTACATCCCTGCTTGCTTTCCTGAGCCTTGCTATGGCTCCGTTTCCGTAAGTTAATTGTGGAAGGGAATAAAGCATATCACATTTACAGGTATATTATAGATACATCTTCTTCAGATACGGAAAGAGGATTCGGAGCAGGAGTCGCTTTGCGGCCTAAAAGTCATGGGAAAGGATAGTTGGACTGTATTATATTAGTTTCGATGAGAATGCCAGGCACTTCCCCAGAATACTTCGTTGAAGATCAATGAAGTGAGCTTGTGTGTCACCCTCAAAATTTATTAAGGCAATGAGAATGTTTTTAGAACAACAAGGAGTTTCATTCGATTAAATGAGCTAAGGTGACAATCTGAGAAATAAAAGCAATAACGAGCTGATTAGTCAAAGAACCCCACAATCATAAAACCGGTCTTCCAAAACCACAATTACTTTTTGTACAGTCCTTTCCTATCGGATTCTGATGATTTCCTAGCCTTTGGAACATGTCACAGAAATATAACACCGACAACGATCAAGCAACCACAAGGCTGCCTCATTGTCTAGTGCTAGCCATAACGACAACTGGGTGACCGATATCTATACCTTGTTTGTGAGCTTTTAAAGCCGTCACTGCATCCAGGCGGTCTGGCCGAAGCTCGTTCTCGATCTCCAGCGCACGGAGTCCGGCCTCAGCTCCCGTTAAGTGACCGAAAATACGCCGTAGTGTACTCACGCGATAGAAATAAAACTGCACGTTCGTGATCAGCTTGCCGTTTCAATTTTATAAGGACTCACAAACCCATAATGCGGGGTGACATCAAACTCACCGGTCCAAGTCCCTTTTCCTGCTGAGTCGCATACCCTTCAATCACCGAGTCTGGTTCACTTTGCACCTTCCAAGACATGGACAGAATTCTTCCGGTGAAGCCTGCTGCATCTGCTAGCTGGAGCATGGTGTCAATTGGGACTCTGCCGCCAATGCTTGATAGGACGACACCGGTTTCGGTGAGCAGATCGAAGGTCCTTGCCTGCAGCAGACAGACATAGTGGAGGTCAAGAAGAGCCTTGGATACAAACGAGGGGACAACCCCCGAGACGTCTGAGCAGTCGAAATAGGTGGAGGAGGTCTGACCGTCCAGGAGATCAGCGTCTTCTGGCAGTGGAATGTTGGGCAAGTTCCTGGGTGAAACGTCAGTTTCGTTTGACTCTTAGAGTATGAACGAAAATAAATCGAGAGAAAAGGCCCACTCATATATCAGGTCAAAAGGCACCTGGCCCTTAAGGGGTACTAAGCTATGACCAGACAGTCCAGTGGCATCTCTGGCAACTGCCCTCACCCGGCCATCGGCCTTCTCAGCGGCAGACATCAGATTGATCTTGGCCTTGTCGACAACTTCATCATGGAGATCTGTCATGACGATGCTGCGGAGGTGAGGAAAGACATCCAGCGCTGCAATGGCGTCGGTGCCTGAGCCAGTACCGATAGTTGCAAAGCGTTGCACTGGATCAAGAGTGGAAGCCTGGAGCGCCTCGAAGGAGGTGAACGCAGCAGTCACTGCCCAGTCGGCACGGGGCTTATAAATCTATATGGCAGTGTTGGTACATGAGTGACCGGAGAAAAGGAGACAGCGGACCGCGTACCTTTGGCTGGTAGCTGAGGTCTGAGAGGGAGATGCTAAACCTGCGGCTGACATGCTGGGGTTTGACACCAAAGAAAGCCTTGAAGTCAATGACGAAGGTGCTAAAGGATTCCGGTACTCTCCGTATTTTGTAGTCGAGACTGTTCGAATTGTAAGTGTCTTCTTGAACAAGGAATGTAGTCATTGTTGCAGTTATCTTCTTGAAATTGGTCTAGGAGGGATTCTTCCACACCATTAGTATCTACGGCCATTGAAGCTTTATAGGTATCCGGCACACCATCGCAGTACGCCTTAAGTTATCCCAATTGCCTAATGGGAGATCGATGGCAGACGTGTGAAGTAGTGATCAACATCAGCGTGAGGCCGAATTGAGTTAAAGTTAAGCAGCGCCCTTCACTTCATTGAGAGTAAGCCCGCATGTCCGCAGGTGTCACATGCTGCAGCAGGCCTATAAGCTTATGTGCACCCAGCAGACAGGCGTCCCAGATGTCGAATACAGGTAGCTAATGCCTATGTCAGTGCTTACAGGCATTTAACCCCTGAAGACTCACTCATACATTGCTATTCTCTTGGTGGATGCCGTAGTACCATACAATCCTAGGTGTCTCCTGAAGTAGTATTTGGCCAGATCCCGGATTCGGGAGCCTAGTCTAGAGACATCAAGAAAGGAAACCTCCGTGCTTGCTACCATTGGATCAAGCTGCCAGATTTAGGGAGGAGCCATAACCAAAGTATGCTTGTTGACGGTTCTCGCCAGGAGTACTTCGACACTATAAGTTAAAAGTTTCGCCGAGACGCCTGAGGCCAAAGGTGGCTTGCACAGTCACCAGGCCGAGTAACTTTGTGTTCAAAAATGGCGTAAAATTGAGTTACCCACCACTGCTGGGTGAACAAACTGACAAGATCCATCCAATCGGAAATTATACACAGCAGGAAACGTAGATCACTTGACCGAATCGCCCTGATTTTAGCATTGACGTGGTTCCTGGTCCTGTGAACTCTCAATTCAACTTGAACAGCCCCCACCGAAACCCTGCAAATTGAGTGCCGCTGATCTCAGACTCATCGAACCTCGAGGCCACGGCATCTGAATGACTTCAACCTTAGAAGTGGAGAAGTGGAAGGCCTAAGCAGTACGGCGGCCAAGGCTTGCAAAGCAGCTACAACTACCCTCTCATGGCGCATAAAAACCAGGAGAGAGAGGTAAAACAGCTGGCCAAAGTATATGCGGATTGTGAATACCTTTTTCACGGACATGGGCTGACCTTCAAGCGAAGGTCGGTGGTTTTTAGCGCCTGCGTGGAAGTATATGATGTTCCTACTGCTCACTAAGACAGCACACTACAAGGACGAGACAAAATGAACCAGTCTCAGTAATAAGCAAAGCTGTTTGAAGAGCGAGGGCTATACTCTACGACAATGAATCAGACACCTACCTCAATTAGGAGCGAATGAGCGCCCCATATTGTAGGGCGGACACGAGCGCATCATAAATGTGGAAGAGTGACCAGCCGCGCATATAATTTCCCTCTCTTATTGTCTTCTCTCCCTCGCTCCTTTCTTTAATATTCTGAAGTTGAGTAGCTCAATGGGAGGCCATCCACCAGGTTGTTGGGCTAAATTTTACTTAAACCAGTTTGAAAAGGAGATTCCAGGTTGCGTAGCTCATATCCGTAGGGGCCGAGAGGGGATGAAACACACACATTTAGGTCAATGAATTTGTAAGAGCTTTGACACCATAAGCACTCAAGATCCAGAGGCTAATACATATAAGGTAGGTACGTCGACGTCAGCTTGAGAGCGTTAAATTGTGGCTACCACCTGGCAAATCTCCGATCGACCTCCGCGGCGCAAGGCTGAATGCTGGAAAGGCCTTATCCCTCCTCTCAGTGCCCTGGACGGGACCCTCGGAAGAACTGGAAGCCAGCACGAGCCCCTGAATCTCCACTCCAGCTGAGTTTTCGCTTGGCGTTACGCGCTGTTCATGAAGCTAGTGACGCGGACCCCGGCTAAGCTCGAGGTGGTAGTGTGGATGCTCCTCGAATGAGAGAAGCCCTGCGGCACCACGCAACCCCACTGCGCAGCCGCCATTGCGCTCTACTTGATACTAATTATACTAGTTCCACTAAAGGGTTCGTAGTCGGAATTGGTCTGTTGGGGGCCGCATCTGTATTGTATTGTTACCCGATATTACAGGCAGAAGCCTCATTCATCTGAACTATTAACCATCCGTCTTCAGTTATTTTAACTTTGTTCACCATCAAATAGGGCAGAAAGTTTGAGCCTATTGACGCAAGCCACGTCAGATACGAGTAACTAGAATGAGGGTTGTTTGTAACTAAAGAGTAACAATGCTTTCTCTTTTAGTTAGCATCGTCATCAGAAGAATGCACTGCCGAGACAACGGAGCCATGAGTGGTGCGATCCTCGATCTGACAGGTTCTAGGCAGTAGGTATCATTTGGTATCATTGCTTACGGCTGCCACTGGCAGTCATTGTTCGTGGAGAAGGATTCAGGACCCGTCAGGGAAGTTCAGAATGTAGATCCAACACCCTTGGTGTCATGTTAGCGTGGGCGTCAAGTCCAGGCTTTGCTTTTTAAAAGACTGATAGTCCCAGGTCAAAACTGACAACCTGATCCATCTTTACCTGTGCGCTTCCTTGGTTTCCACAGCAAGAAAGGGAGAGTTCATTCTGATGTCAGAACCAGGATGACATTCAGACGCCCGAGGATATGGCGCAGGTTCTTGCTAATCCTGGGGGCCTCAGCTATTCTCTTTCTTCTCTGCCGCAATGATAAACCACGGTGGCTAGCGGCTCGACGAGCCCATAGCTCGTGCACTGGGTTCGATCTCGCAGCAGTATCCGAAGACCTCCACTCGCGCATGAAGGCTGAAAGCGACTACACTCCCGTCGAAATCCATCAGTTCGTGTGCGGCATTATCAACCATAATATGACTGCGTCCGCTCAGCTTGAGTGTCCGGCGACTATCAGCCAGCGTTACCATTCACTGATTCCCGTCGACGGAAAGCACCCCGAAATCCAATACTTCTTTGCCCTCAACCTCTACCAAGTGATTCATATCATCCTTCCTCTGATGGGAAGTATCCTGGAGGCTATCCGATATCTGGGGCCAGAGCATTGCGCTTTGTCGATTGTGGAGGGCCGGTCAACCGATGGAACATATGAGATCCTGGCTCGCTTGAAGCCGGAGCTGGATGCCATGGGAGTCCGATATCATTTCTCTCGAAGCCCGATAAACCCGCTCGGCCCGGGCGAAAACCGCATCAAGGACCTGTCCGAGCTGCGGAATATGGCTCTCGAGCCTCTCATCACCGGAGCCAGACAGAAGGGTGGTCCCTTTGGCCATGATCCCATGATCATATTCATTAACGACATCGGTATCTGCCCGGAGGACATACTCGAGTTGATCTATCAGCAAAAGGTGCAAGATGCGACGATGACATGTGCATTTGACTGGAGAGAGGAAGGGGTAATCCACGATGTTTGGGTATCCCGGGACCTCTCTGGAGATCTCTTCTTCGACATTTCATCGGACGGGTCGATCTGGGACTCTCATAACCTATTTTCTCATCATGGACCCAGTCGTGAACGTTTTGTAAAGCATCTACCTGTGCAGGTATATAGCTGCTGGGGTGGAATGGTCACCTTGGACAGTGGCCCATTCATTGATGGGCAGGTACAGTTCCGATATTCAGAGGAGGATGAGTGCTACATGGGGGAACCTACACTGCTGGCACAAGACCTCTGGCGCTTGGGTCTTGGGAAAGTGCTTGCTATTCCAACCGTGAATGTTGCATATGAATATCGCTGGTCGTTGAGGGCTAAGAATGAAAAGGGCTACGTCCATACGCTCCTGGGTAATTCAGGGCCAGGGCGATATTCCCCTCACGATGAGCTGGTACATTGGCAGAAAGAGCCGCCGAAGCAGATCAAATGCATGCCAGCCTGGGACGACCAATCCTGGGTAGATGCTGTTTAATTTCATTCCCCGAGCCATTTTCGTAGAGTGGATCTTTTGTATTGTGATGTGCATTTATCTAACCTGGCTGTTTAGTGCGGGCAGTCAGGCAGAGCGAGGCAGTGCTTCCACCCGGCCGTTCGGTCGCGTGTACGTGGCTTGCAGTGAACCCTTGCTGGCGCACCTGCGGATGGCTATTAAAGGTATCTCGTTGATTGCGATGGCTTTTCCAGCCAATAGCTGACCGCTTTCAATCGGGTGATTGCAGGGGATAACCTCACCACCAGGGCCCGGCTGGATCTATCCAGCGCTAAAGCTGCGCCGTTGCTGACTAGCGCTGACACGCTCGCTGTGTTCTCAACCTGGCTGCTCTCGCTGAATTCCCCATGTGATGCTGTCTAAATGCATGTCTTAAGCCCCTGTTGTACCGGAATTGATCAGGCATTGGAGGATGGCTCGTTCCGAAGCCCGGCCTATCTCGCAATCCACCCCTGGAGGCGGGGTTGCTGCGCCGCATTAACTTGCTTTCGTCCTTTGTTCGGAGGTGGGCCGGACCTTAAATGTCTTGAGGCCGTCTTGCGATCCGTTCGTCCACATTTGTTCGTCGCCCGCTTGGCAGACGGCAGCCTTCCTCATGGCGCCTCAGCATCACTACGCGCTGGCGGACCAAGGAGAGCCGGAAGTAGAGACAGTACCGGAGAAGAATGCGAATACAACTGCCAATGCACATTCGGAGGCTGCTGCACCCCAAAATGAGGAAGAATTCTCCGATGAACCTCCAGCAACCCCTTCGTCGGTCGCATCCACACTCGAGAAGGGTACATCCAGCACGTCCCACTGGACTATTGGCTGGATGACTCCAAGTTCCATCATTACTTGTTTTCTCTTAGGTAGGCTTTATCACTATAGTGATTGAGGTGCAATTATTGCCTCGACTACCCTTTCCTAAATTCGGAGGGTCGTTAACTGTGCATTTCAGCGGCCTCTGTGGCATCCATGCATCTCGGTCTCTTTCATTGGTTGGACCAGCGTGAAGTCGACAAGACCATCAAGCAGCCATATGTGACAGCCCTGTCAGTTGTATTTGTGAACGTATTCCGAACATTCCTGGCCGCCGCGTTGGGCATGTCTTTTATCCAGATGCTATGGAAGGACCTGCGCGCCCGTCCGATGCGCATCGGCGACATTGACTCCTTCCTCTCGGTGTTGACGAACCCCCTCTATCTCGGAAATGTAAAGCTTCTCGCGGTGGCTCCTATTCCATTCGTTTGCGCCTTGATATGTTGGTGTATCCCTATCGCCATGATCTTCCCAGCGGGTGCCCTGACCGTCGAGTCCAAGTCGCTCCATATCCTGAAGAATCAGTCAGTTCCGACATTTGACCCAGCCTTTATGGGAAATGGCACATTTGGTGGCATGATGGCTGAAGCACTGTGGCAGCCCGATTCTTACGATGCCTATGAGTAGGTTCTATGTAGAAATTGTTGATTGTTCTGGTGAACGGATGCCCTAACGACTTTCCAATAGCGGACCTACCTATAAGCTTACCCGCGTTGCAAGACAGGCCATGATGGCCGGGCACTATCTTCCATCCTCGTCTCCGTGCGCTACCGATTGCTCCTACACTATAAGCATACCAGGCCCCAGCTTCGAGTGCCGCAACTACTCCTCTCCAGATCTTTACAGCTGGGTCAACCGGTCCTACCCGCAGACGCACTCGTGGGGGTATCTCTACATCGCGTCGCGGGATAATGCTGCCCGCAGCAACCGCTCGGAATATGCTTTTGACTTCGGTTTGCGCTGGATGCGGGACGGCGGATATCAGAATCTCACCTGCCGAGCATACGAGTCGAACTACAACCTGCACATCACCTACACGGGGAGCCAGCAACACGTCACCACGGAGGTTAACACAATTCGCCAATTAAACAGCTCGTATATTTACGACAATGGTGGCATATATCCTCGGACTGGGTCTCTGGACGCGCGAATCAATACAACCACGATGGGAGAAACCGGAGGCAACGTTATCGACATCTTCCGCCGGGCGAACCTAGCCGCTGTCCAAGACACAGTTGTGTACGCACTCTCAGGATATATTGACATGCTCAGTAAGTACTTCTTTATGCGAGTCGTAGACTAAATCTAGCAAAGACTCACCGAATGTAGTCCTCCACAGCCAGCCATCAGCCAACACCATCATCTCCCTGACAGAACTATCCTCCGGTCCTGCAAGCACACCAAGCTTCAACATTACGAGCGCGTCAATGCAAGACCTACTACAAAACATTACAATCTCCCTTCTGACTATGAATCAAACCACCACTGAGGTTACCGTTATGAACAATGTGACCGTGAACGTATACTCCTTTAGCCGACCGGCACGCCTGATCGCCGCGTACTTTGCGTGTCTTGGATCTGCGCTGGCGTTTATACTCTTTGGTGGACATGCACTAATCAGCAACGGAATATCTGCAAGCATGACCGGCATGTTTCAGACTTTGTGCACCACTCGTGCCAGTGCACGGCTGGACGATCTGGCGGCTAAGGGGTGCTTGGGAGGTCGAGAGAATGTCCCGGATGAGTTGAGGAATTTGAAGGTCATGTTCGGAGAAATCCAAGGGAAGGATGGCGTACGCATGGCAGGGCTGGGTTCTGTGGATGAGGTTATTCCGTTGAAGAGGGGTTCGATATGATCTGATGAGTTGGTAAACTCGGAGTAGTACATCCGGGATGGATTATTAGGACATACCATGATTAATGTTTAAATGTGACGTATGATATGACCGATTGATTCGAATGGAGCAACATTGGAACAAGATCTGTGAGTACAGTGCGCAATATGATCTGCTTTTGATTAGTTAGCCATCAAGCTCGACATATCAGCTTATGTCTAAGGATGTGAGAGTTGTTCGGTCGTCCTAGACCAATACTGCCTACGTCGAGAGCACAAAGTGCTACATTATATTGATCGCTTTATATATCCCTCTAATTGTTCTACCTGGGTTGACGGGATTATCTGCGGCGAGGTACAAAGTAGGAGATGGCCTACCTCATGCAAGAATGAGGGGAAGTTGCAGGTGCCCTACTGGCCAATGGAGACAACATCGTAGAAGGTTCCACATATATTAAAGCCTTATATTACTCGCTCCGAAGGAATTTTGACCACGTTCAATTTAACCACGCCCACCTAAAAGTCACAGCCTTAGAGCAACAAGGCTTCGATTCCATATACGCCTGCGTGGTGCTATCTCGGAGACCTCGGGTTTATTTAGGGTGACATGGCTGCATCAGCAGCCAACAGCATCTCGAGTTACGCATGATCGACATCGGCCGGGCTTTTATGCATGATGGCTTGGACCTGTCGTTTGTCGCCTGGTGGACCAGCAGGATGCCCAAGGAATTGGCGGGGCAAAGAAAGGAAGAGAGGGCAGGCATCATCTATAGGGAGATCAAGTAAAATGCCCGGTTATATACATCTTATGAAAGAAGATATAAAGCCATATAGGCTCCCTTGAGCGCGCTACACGAAGAATCATACCATTTGCTCCCCAGTAACCGACTGAGCGGCATTAGGAACTTACCCCACTAACCTCTGCACAAAGCAGACACCCATCATGACCATTTTTCGGAGTTCAGCAAAGGCCAGTGAGAGCGAACCTCAGTATGGCATCAAAGTGCTGTACGACTCCAACGAAGCGGAGGTTGAGTGAGTTTCCACAGACCTGATAAAGAATATCTTTCCCGAAGTTGACTTTCTTAGCATTGTCTTTGTCCATGGCCTCGGCGGAAGTCGCGACGCAACCTGGACGATCGACGATGTGTGCTGGCCCCAAGCCCTTCTTCCGCACGACTTGCCAAAAACCCGTATCATGACTTTTGGGTATGATTCACGGGTGGTCAGCTTCACGACAGCTCTGTCCCAGAACGGGATTGTGGGCAATGCCGAGGATCTTTGTGCCCAGCTAGCACGGTTTAGAGCCTCTTCGGTAAGAAGCTTTACGATTTAACCAGGATCTCGAGAAAGCTAAGGATGCAAAATAGCCGGAGCGCCCGATTATCTTTGTAGCCCATAGCTTGGGCGGCTTGGTCTGCGCGCAGGTAAGTTAACAACCCTTCTTTTCTCCTCAAGGTCGAGAGACTTAACGGATCATCGCAGGCTGTCGTGGCAGGCAATCGCAGTTCCCCGTCCGACAACACGCAGATAATCAGCCAACACGTCCGCGGCATCGCCTTTCTGGGAACTCCATTCTGCGGTTCCGAAATCGCGAACTGGATGTCACGCTTAAACAAAGTGGCGGATTACATCTTTGAAAGCAACAAGGCCAATGTCTCGGACCTGAAAAGCAAATCGGGCACATTGCAGCTCCTGATCGAAGAGTTTGCGAACGTATTGCGAAAACGCGATAACTCCGATGACAGTATCCTAACCACTTTCTTCTACGAGCAGTTGAAAACACAGGGCGTTATGGTAACCGGACCGCAGATTCCTGAAATCTCTACTAGTTAAGCTAACATGAACAAAGGTGGTTGACCGCAATTCGGCCACTATCCCCGGTCGCGGAGACATGATATCCATCCAAGCCGATCACAAAAACATCTGCAAGTTCCGATCGAGGGAGGATGATGAAGGATATGGGTTGGTGCTTGGTGCACTGAGGAAGATGATGGTTGAGGCACCGGTGAAGCAGAAGTCGAGTGTAAGGATCTATTGCTTGAGACGCTACTACAATTGCTAACTTTCATCCCAGAGCCCTGTATTCAACTTCAACAATGCTGGGGCTTCCATCAACAACCAGGCAGGCCAGCAAACTATCAATGGGGGGATGAACTTTGGGACATTTGCGCGATAGATGCGCTTGCAAGTATTTGGTATCTGTTGCCCTATCAAGATGATACTGAATTGCAACATTGGATTCTGGTCAAGATGCCTTAGTCTGTATTTATGTGGTTATCGTTGGTGAGGAGACGGGAAATGTGAAGATGCTTGCATTTCATTCATTGAGCGTTTCATGTGCATTTATAGTAGACTGTATGCGTTCAGGTAAAGTTCGAAGATTGCTAATAGCGAATATACTCATCATGATTCATAAAAAGAAAGCGCCATCCAAAAGCCCCCCTTCAAAGCAAGTTCAGCTCCAATTTGTTCGCAAGGGGAATATGACCAAGCAACCTGGCGAGCTCCGAGGGACGGTGATTAGAGCGGTTTCTTGCATGCTTGTCGGCCCCTCGCCTCAAGAGAATGCTAATAATATCATCGTGTCCCCCAGATGCAGCGACGTGGAGCACTGTCTGGCCTTGCGAATCCACGGCCGAAGCGTTTGCCCCGTTGTCCAGTAGATGCTTCACTTTCGCGGTTTCCCCTTTCCCGGCTGCTTCTAGGAGCTTCTGATCGAGATGGGACTGAGATAAGAGATGATGTTGGAACGTAATCTCAGTAGATTACTAGTAGTCGAGGTCACGTGACCCGAACTCCGTAACTTCAACTGCTCCTCCGAGCGCGCCTAGATAGCGAAGAATCAAGCGTTTTCAACGACTTCAGTATTGACCTAAAACGTCGTTTCAACAGGTTATGAGCCCGGCTCTTCGCTCGTGAGGCTAACCAGCAAAGATCTGAGCCACCATACACACGAAGCAAGCCGCAATTGCAACGGGGACACGCACCGCGATACCCCTATCTCAAAACACCAAAACACCGCGAATATCAAAATATTCAACCGCCGGAAGCAGACCCCAGAATGTCGCAACCAGGCAGATACCACTCTTTACAACATGTCTCGAATACAGAGGCAGTAGCCATACAACCAAAGACACAAGCAGATAGGCTTCCAGTAAAGCTACCAGAAGGCGTTCAACCCGTATCTGAAAGGTTGAAAGGGCGAGAAGACTACTCAACGTGGCGCTTTGAAATATGTCAAATCCTGAAGAACGTCGGTCTACAAGACATGATCGACAAGGGTCTATCCCATCCTAGTACAAACCACACGAATTACTGGCTATGGCACCACCTGTCAATCAACATCCAGTCCTGGCTAGCTAGCCAGCTGTCAGACCCCCTAAAGAGGGCACTGATGACGTCCCCTGACGCGCACGACTACGCGGACGATGCCTACGAAGTCATCAAATCACTCGTCCTAGGCCACGGCCACACGCTTTGCCAAACAACGTACTTCGACCTCATCCACAAACGCCGATCCGACTACTCTACCGTTGAACAATACGTGGAGGCGTTCAAACACGCATACAACTTCGCTAAAGAGTTGAAAGTCGGGATATCACCATACTGCGGGTTGCTACACCTGCTCAAAGAGCTGGAATCCGACCTTCCAACGTGGGTGTCAACAGTGGAGTGCAATTTGCCTGATAATGCTGCGGACACCCTCCAGGAGAAAGAGTTTCTAGTTTACTGCAGGACCGCAATCGAACAAGGTAATAAACAAATGCAAAGATATTCTTTCGCTGCGCCAGCGAAGAACACTGGAAGCACCACCAAGTCGGGAAGCACTGCAACGACCTCAGAGTGGAAGAAATCAACATTCCCACCGAAAGGAACGACCCCTGAGGAACACGCTAGAAAGATGCGAAACTTGAAGCCAGAGATGACTAAGGGACGCTGCGCTTTCTGTAAGACACTAGGCCATGGAGCAACCACCTGCTGGCGCTTGAATCCTGACCTCCGGCCAGAGGATTATAGGCCTCGTATAGAAGGCATCTGGTGGTTCAAAGGATCGAAGCCTAGCGAAGCATCAAATGCAGCGGTAGGCGAAATAGGATCCGATGACGAAAACCCGTATATTTTGAATTTTTCTGGCCTAGCCGTTGCAAACGCCACGAACACCTCGCTACGCTGGATATATGATACAGGCAGCTCACAGCATCTAACACCTGACTGCGCTTCCCTAAGCGGTCTCCACCAATTGAAACCCCACGAATACTACCAATATGGCACCTCGAACGGGGGAATCGGTGTTGCAAAATCGGCAGGGTATCTGACCCTGACCCTAGCTGCAAACGGCCAAAATACGGTGTTGAAGATCAAGGCCTACCACCAACCGGACCTACCCTACGGGCTCCTTTCTTCCAACCGCCTACGTACAGACCTTGGCATCTACGCTACCACTAAGGACCTGACCCTACGCAGGGACCGGGATGACAAGATCGTCGGCCACCTGCAGGCATCGAAAAACGTGCTTTTCGTCAGGACAAAAGACCCTGACCTAGCGCTAGCGGCAGTGGACCCCCTACTCTTGCACCGGCGATACGGGCACGCAGGATTCCGCCGAATCGCTACCACTGCAAAGGATCATCAAATTGAACTCGAACACAGGGACACCCTAGAGTGCGAAGCATGCTCGCTAGGCAAGGCCACACGCCTCGTTTCAAGGGACCCAATCCCAAAGACTAATGATCCAACACAGCTCTGGCATGCAGACATCCAAAAGGTGACCCCGATTGGTCATGGCGGATTCAACTACTTTCTACTCATGGTCAACAACGCTACTCGCTTAGTGAGGACGGCCATGCTTAAACACAAAGATGACGCCTCCGACGAGCTGATCAGGATGAATATGGAACACAAGAATATGGTCGGCCGATACGTGGCCACCTGGCACCTAGATGGTGGCCGCGAGTTCAACCGCTTTAGGAAATGGGCGAATCATGCAGAGCGAGGCATTCAAATCAAAATATCACCTCCTCGAACACCCGAAGCCAACGGCCTAGCTGAACGATACGGCGGCTTGCTCAACCGAATGAGCAGGGTCATGATACTAGATGCTGGCCTCCCTGCTCACCTCTGGCCGTACGCTGTACGCCTCTCAGCGCAGATCCTGAATCGCCTCGTCCCCTACCACAGCGCTGTCAGGAAGACCCCCGTGTTCCTATACAGATCCCACTACAACCTCCCGAATCCTAACGCGTCACTAGACTTCCTACGCGTATTCGGATGTCGTGCCTACCAACACATCCCGCAGGAAGATCGAGTCGCATCCCAGAAAATGGGACCTCGTGCAAAAGTCGGATACTTCGTCGGTTTCGATGGGGACAACGGACACGTTTACTACGTGTGGGATCCTATATCTGATAAAATTAAACGATCACGAGACGTTAAATTCAACGAAGATCGAACCTACAAGGATGACAAGGAGGATCCCGGTGGAGTTCCTACACGCGAACCTGACCCTAAAGGACCAACACCAGCTGGCCCAGGTGCCGCGCTCAAGTTAGACAACGCGTTCCTGCACCAAACAACCAATATATCAGATAACACGAGGGCCCTGATTGAGCAACCGGACCCTGAAGAAGACGTCATCCGAGGCAGAATCCACACCATATCTGCCTCCGCAGAGCCTCCACCTACACGCTCGATCGAGAATGCCACAGAATACGAGGCATCCTCAACGAAATACGCCGCGCAGGACTACCGCCTGCCGGACCCTACTGAGCCAGAAGAACAACCCATACTGAGGCGCTCCGCAAGGACCACTAAAGGCAAATCATCAACATGGCCAGATTACCAACAACTGGCCACGGTTGACCGGGTGACCCTACCCCACCTCAAACAACACGAAGTGGTCGTTCCGAACACCTACAGCGAAGCGATGAAGTCCCCGCTGGCACCATACTGGAAAGATGCTATGGATACACAGATCGATAAGATACAGAATATGGGCACCTACGAGATCGTGAACCGACCTCCAACCGCTCGCGCAATCCCAGGCAAGTGGGTGTACGACCTCAAGGTCAACACTGACGGATTCGTCACCCAATTCCGTGCTAGATGGGTAGTCTGCGGCAACCGCCAGATACCAGGCATCGATTACGACGAATCGTTCGCTCCTGTCGCCAGCGAAGCGGCCCTGAAGCTATTCATGACGAACGTCGCTATAAAAGATCTTGAATGGGAACAATGTGATATAGTATCTGCTTATCTACACGCGCAGATACAGGGCAAACGCGTGTTCATGAAACAACCTACCGGATACCATGAAGGACCACCGGATCAGGTGTGCCTATTAAAGATGGCCCTCTACGGCCTCCGCCAGGCGGCCCACCTCTGGCACCAAACGTTTGACGAAACACTTAAAAGAATCGGTTTCGAACCACTGAGGGAGGATCCCTGCGTATACAAAAAGGGTGATATCTGGTTGATTATTTATGTTGACGACTCCGCTATCGCTGGCCCCAGGAAGGAAGACCTAGCCGAGGTCAAACAACACCTAAACAAGGCATTTGGCCTGAAGGAAATGGGGGAACCAAAGGTTCTACTAGGATGCAACGTTCAACGTGACTACCAAGCAGGCACGATATCACTATCCCAACCAACGTACGTGGAGGAGTGCCTCAATGCAGCGAACCTAGGATCCTGCACCCCCTCCGCCATTCCGATGACCGTTGCCTACAAAAAGTCAGATCGCTCGAATATGACTACCGAAAACGTCAACCTAGCCGAATATCAAAGCCTTGTAGGGCGTTTGAACTGGCTAACCACAAAGACCCGCCCCGATATACGTCATGCAACGTTTAGACTTCAAAGGCGCATGAACACTCCCACTACGGCCGACGCTAAAGCATTGAAAATTGTATACAGATATCTGAAAAGGTCCATCCCGTACGGGATCACCCTCGCCACTGACCATACCAAAGGCATCGAAGTCTTCGTAGATGCCGCCCACGCTGACCACGAAGACGGCAAATCAACGGAGGGATACGTCATCTTCTACGCTGGCGGCCCAATCAGCTGGTCATCCAGGAAGCAATCGCTAGTTGCACCGTCATCTACGGTAGCAGAATACTGCGCGTTTGACTCCGCCGCCAAAGAAGCCTTGTATATAAAGAAATTGGTTGAAGCGTTTGACCTCAAGGCCTCCGTTGACGGCAGGATACCCTTGTACACCGACGCCGCCAACTCCCTACGGATCCTGAACCACGGAGGCTACACCAGGTCCACTAGATGGCTCGATAATCGTTACCTATTCGTAGCCGATCTGATCACGAAGAACGCTATCACCATTCAACACATCCCAGGGACCACCAACCCGGCGGACGGCCTCACCAAGCCGCTTGATAACGAATCGTTCAAAGCGTTCAGGCACCTCCTCGGAATGACCCCCATCTCCTCCCCGAACCTGCATCCAGGGAACACCGGTTGAGATAGCCGTTCCTTCCTATCTAGGCAATGCCTAGAGCCTCGTTACGAACGCTCCCTCGCCTAGGGGGCCGTGTTGGAACGTAATCTCAGTAGATTACTAGTAGTCGAGGTCACGTGACCCGAACTCCGTAACTTCAACTGCTCCTCCGAGCGCGCCTAGATAGCGAAGAATCAAGCGTTTTCAACGACTTCAGTATTGACCTAAAACGTCGTTTCAACAGATGATATATTAGTCTGTGTAATATTTATGGGTGTTGAACGATTCATTTGTCTACCTTATCCTCAGCAATATGCTGCACGCCATCTGTGACCATGGAAATCAGTACTAGTGTAGTAATTAGAAGCTTGATCGAATAATATACCTTGCTCATAGGCATAGATAGTATTATTATAAATACTGCCATAAACAACCTGACTACCAGCCTGGTTGTGAACTGTGTTGTCTCTGTTGTCAAACGTGTTTCCGTCACCCATCTCGTCTCAGCAGACACTATAATTATTCGGAGAAAAAGATGATTTGATATGAAGTTGTTCCTGGCAAAATTCAAGGTGGGATGGAGTGAGGAGGTACAGAGAATTCGAAGTTAAGATGTGTCATGCTGTTTGGCCTGACAGTTGCTGCCCTACAACAGCACTTCGCTGTCCAGCTCAACTAGCTCCACCATACTTTGTGGAATCATTTGCCTTGAATCTCAGTGGGGACTGCAGGTATCAATATGCAATAGTTACATGCCAGGATAATATTGGCCAGGCTTGCATGGAAAGGCCTCCAGAGCAGCTATTCCCACCGAATCCGAGGAGGGGCAGGAGGGGAACGCAGCATGAGTGGGTCGGCTGGAGTATCCCCTGGTCTATGCAGGTACTTCTTGCTGTGGCTGGTACTGCGATTCATAATCCAGTGTTAGAATTCTATATCTAGATAGAAATAGAATCATCACTCAGTAGGCTTGACCGTAAATGTACTCTTACTAGCTTTGAACAAAAACAACCTGGCTTCGGGCGATCGGCGGATGATTGCCGCCTAAAATCAAAGTCAAAGCATGGCTCGGTTTCGAGGCAACTACATTTATAGCGCCACTCTTCCAGTCAGCATCCTTCGGTCCATATAGAAGCAAGTGTCGGCATTTTCTATTTAACCCATAATCCTCTCCACCAGATTCACCCTCTTCCAACCATATTCCATCAATCCATCTTCGATCGCTGCCCGCAACCATGGCACTCATTGAAATCACTGTCATCTCAGATCCAGTATGCCCATGGGTATGTCACATTCCGTCCATATTAGCTTAGACTTAATTTAATTGAGACTTCCACCTCGACAGTGCTACATTGGCTACCGCCGCCTAACCAAGGCCATCCGCCTATACCAAAAGACCTACCCCGGGGGAAGCCAAGACCGCATCTGCATTTCCTGGAAACCGTACTTTCTAGACCGCGATGCTCCGATGGAAAGTGTTCCCTACATAGGTCTGTGGCCTTATAACCCTCAAGTTCGAGATCAATCCTAATGAAACCCCCGCAATAGAGAGAATGACCCAAAGACTTGGAGCCGATAAAGTCCCTGCCGCAAAAGCTCGGCTGGAGCGACTAGGTGCCCAAGAAGGGATCTATTTCAAGTTTGGAGGACGGTTTGGGAATACTCTGCGTGCGCATCAACTGCTTTTGTTGAGCGAGTTCGTTAGTCGGCAAGGGAAGATTGATGGTTGTGGTGCTCGCGATACTGCTACGGCTGTTGCTGAAGGCATTTTCCGGGCCCATTTTGAGGATGAGCTGGATATTACTGATGTGGAGACCTTGGTGCGTGTTGCCGTGCACGCTAGTGAGGGGTATTTGGATGAAGCCAAGGTCCGGTCCTGGCTTGAACAGGGACAGGGAGTGGAGGAGATTGATGATATGGCGACAAGGGCTCGTCAGGAAGGAGTTCACGGTGTGCCATGCTTTCAGATTGGCGGGGGAGAGAATGCTGAAGGTGCGGTGTTGACTTTAAGTGGTGCTCTGGATGTCGACGAGTTCTTGCAGGCCCTTATAGCACATAAAACAGGAAAGGGATTGGATTCTGCGGACAAGGTATTGGGAGGTCAGGAAATGACTTCGTGTTGAGACTGTGATGGGGCTTCAGTAAATATGTACTGTTATTGAGAGATATCAAGCTCAGTCAACTATATACGAATTTGGTCCAGATGCATATTGATCCTTGCTCACTGCAAGCTCCCACTTCCCTCTTTCACTTCCCCTGCGGCAGGTAAACGCTCATCTCAAATCCATTCGTGAAAGGCAACGTCATATTGCGGAAGCCATTCTCAGGCGATCTCAAGAAAGACAATAGATCCGCGTAGCCCTGAGCTCCGGAGATCGTGTTATCCGCAAGGACCACTGCACCGTGTCGGAGCCGAGGGAGAACGATTTTAAGAGTAGGAAGTGCTAGAGGAGTCCAGACTATGGATCTCAGTTAGCCATATAGCTGTCCTCGGCCAACAAGGCAACAAACTTACTGTCAAGAAGGAGAAGATCGATTTCCGGCAGCCCTTCCTTCAAAGTTTCAAGCAGATCACCCTCTCTCAGATCGATCTGTTTCTCCACAACATCACCACACTGACGCCAATAACCACGGGCAATATCAGCCTTCGATTTCTCCTTTTCCGTTGCGATGACAGTGCCAGATTTGCCAGTCGCGGCGGTGGTTTTCGCGACAGCCAGAGCAAGGTAGATGGTGCTGACCCCGAAGCTGGTGCCTGCCTCGATGACATTAGTAGCACCCATGGCGTTGATCAGCTGATAGGTGAAATGGCATTTGTCTTCGTCCAGCGCGATGAATTTGTCGAGCATGACTTGGTCGAATTCGGCTTGCTTGGCGGCAGCGTCTTTGTCTTCTAGCTTGCCGAGGAGAGTCGTGGAAATAAACTTGCCGTTCTTGGAAATCAGAGCTTCCTGTTTCAAGGACTTTTTGTGAAGTTCGGAAAGGAGCTGTAGGACATGCTGCGGGGCATCGACGGGATTAGGGGATGACATGGTGTGCTGTTATCCGGTGTTAAGAGGACTGCTACTTTATGGAAGTATCGATTTTTGAGAGTCAATGACAAGAAACCTGAAAGTGCCGTACAAATCACTTCAGCTTGGGATAATGGTTGATGAAATATGCTACTTTGCTCACGCCGGAAGAAGAGGAAGAGTGAAGGATGTGGGGGAAGTGGGTTCTTGGCATTCGGGGGAGCATCAACAGTGGCATGTTTACTTCCGGATAGCGTCGGAACAGCAAAGAGGATACAGGATCAGTCATTGCAGTGATATTTCGAAAGGATCAGATGCCGGCAAAAATGGCTCTTAACACGAACTGCTATTGCAATAATCCGTCGTACAGAACCGGACTAATGAAAGCAAGTCAAGAAGGCTACAGCCGGCAATGGCAATTCCGCCTACCTTCGCTATCATCCTTCCGAGGTATATTAGGCACACATGCCTTATTGAAGTCTCAAATTGGATACCATTCTCTTTCTGCTTCTATAGATGTTTCTTCCGTGGTTGAAGTTGCCAAGTCCAGGAATTCTAAAATATTGCCTCCGCGGAGATCGAGTATAGTTCTTGGCATTTTGGAGAAGGCGATTGAGTCATCCAGCACCACAACAAAAAGACAATTATATACCGGCATAAAAGCGGTAAATTCAATGTGCTGACTCTATTTTCTGGTAGCCATTATGGCTGTCACTCGACCGTCTTGAAAATTAGTGACAATGTATGTGGGCTTTTCCCGATACACTGTACACAGAAACTTGACCATAATCAATGGTATTATTATGAGTCATTATGTCCCTGTCACAAAGCTACAACCCTAATCAAGAGGAGTATTCACTCTCTAACCCACTTTATCACCCGCCTCAGCACTAAAAATCCATCTGTTGGCTGTTCTAGCCTCTTCAGGTAGTCTTGTAGTTCCCACTTCGAAAAATTGCCATTGTAAACCTCATCCTCCTCCAACAACATCTTTTTGGCCAGTTCAGTCTGAACTCCTGGATGCGCCTGGAATTATAACACAGTATTTGCTTGATTAACAAACATTTCATGATTTCCGTCAGGTGATTAAAGCCTACTCCAGGTTGGGCCACCTCTCGTACATGAAACTCCGGTAACCTTTGGGAAGAATCATCAGCAGGGCGAACAACCAAAGGGCAGCCATCAAACAGCGCACGTAGGCCTTGACACCTGATCGGGTAGAGAAAAGCTTCATTCCAGCTTCAGTCAAATTAACATCTTCAAGGCCGGCCTATAGTAATTAATACGTCAGTCTGTAGGCTATGGTGAGCAGGGTGGCTGCGACACCTACAATGGGTCCTGTAGGAACGGCTCGCACTTCTCCACCAAATGCCCTCAATATAGCTTGGTGGCCCCAGCAGATGCCTAAAATCTTAGTCTTTGGTGACTCCCGCGCAGTCCTACGGAGGAAGTCCAGGACACCAAGCACACAGGGCTCCGAGGATGAGGCGTCGGCTTTCCCTCCACTCAAGACGATCAAGTCATAATTCTGAGGATTGGGGAAGCTCCCTTCAAACACGGGATCGTACATATCGACCTGGGCGTTTGGTGCAATAACATTTAAGGCATCCCGATAAGACCCGCGGACATCGTTCCGGAACTCATTGCCAGGGGGTGTGTTGATAAGGACTGCGATGCGTAGTGGTGAGTGGGCAGCCATTGTGTTTAACGTGCTGGAAGATCTTGTTAAACTAAATGGGTGAGGTATGAGCGATTCGTATACGTCTCGTGCTGTCAACGCTACAAGAGAATAACGGATGCTTGTGCCCTTTATAATTTACTAATTGTCGTCAACGCCGGACTTGAAATACAAAGACTTTTCTGTCTATATCGGTAATGTATCGCATCTGCACACCAGTTATAGTAATGCCCCCTTTGCAGATCTGATTGAGTCACCAGAATTTGGGATCGCCACAAAATATCCAGCCGTAACTGACACTGGCAGAGGCAAGTGTAATCCTAATCGGGTGAACGAGAACGATCGGATCTCCGACCGAAAGTGGGACTTGACCCATAAATTACTGAATCGGGTGCGCGAGAACGATGCCGAGCGCAGATGTGACATTGGAGAGGCATGAGACTAGAGTCACAATAGCTGGTCAAATCAACACCTTTGGATTATTATTAACACAGATAAGTCGAGAGCTTCGAATAATCTAGGATTGCTAAATGACAAAGCAAGATAACCAGACATCACATTGGTATAAGTTTATCCATTTCTCCCCAGTACCCTGCCCTTAGGCTTCAATCAAACTATACACTTCCTTGAGACCACCATATCATCATGTTCTTTGCTAGTACACACGCTGAAACTGATGAGGAATTGCTCCTTCAATTTATCAAGGAGAACCCCCTGGGTATGCTCATTACAGGCATTGAATCGTCCGCCCAGGACTTTCTCCAATGTACCCACGTCCCCTTCGTGCTAGACCCCCCCAAGACCGAAGAGAACCCATCATCCAACCCACAACTGCGTGCCCATATTGCGAAGCAGAACCCCCATGCCAAAACCATGCTTGAGCTTACCAACGGAGCGCCACCGAATATCCTTCCGCTCGAACGCGATGTCCTGGTGGTGTTCAACGGACGCCATGATCACTATGTGACTCCCAAATTCTACACCGAGACGAAGCCTGACACCGGCAAGGTGGTCCCAACATGGAACTACTCTGCCGTTCAAATCTACGGAAAGCTCTCCCTGTATTATGATTCCAGGACCCCAGAGGCGGGTGCCTTCCTATGGAAGCAGATGCACGATCTGTCGGAACAGTGCGAGCGACGGATCATGGGATTCACCGGAGGAGACCGGCCGCAGCCATGGAAGGTTGCAGATGCACCTGAGCGATACATCGAGCTGATGCAGAGGAACGTGGTAGGGATCCGGATTGAGATTACCAAGATTGAGGGCAAGTACAAGATGAGTCAGGAGATGAGGCCAGGGGACCGGAACGGCGTGGTTAGGGGGTTTGCAGCCATGGGCGGGGAAACAGGACAAGCTATTTCAGCTTTGGTTCAGGAACGAGGGGAGTTGATTGATAAGAAGAAGGCACTAAAGTCCGCTTCGATAGAATAGAATAAGAATGATATAGCTAGTTTGTACCGGTTCTATCGGAGATAAGCATTTCCTAATCTGGTTTAGCGTTTCAATTGACTCTGTGCATAATCTCGTGCGCTATAACTAATAAGAGTGACTCAACCCCCGCCATTGCCCTCGGCTGTCATCGGACGCGCTGGTTTGACATTAGGAAACGGGTTCTTAGGCAAAAATACAATATATCACTTCCTCATCCTATCACATGTACAAACCGGCACCACCGAGACCTAAAAAGACAAACATCATCCGCTCCCGCAATGGCTGTAAAAGTTGCCGCAGTCGCAGAACCAAGTGTGATGAGCGGAAGCCAAAATGCGGAACCTGCGCGAGACTTGGAAAGATCTGTGAATATGCTAGACCAGCTTTCAAATTTCAAGTTACGACAGTCGACGACCCGAGACCACCACCAGAGCCACTAGCAACAGCAACAGCGTCCAATGTGTCGTCAGAAGAGACAACCCCAACACCGGCCGGAGACCAAACTTCGGTCGTTCGAGCCGCACAAGATGTTCCCTCTATCGGAAGCTATGACATTATCCGGTCATTGCAAACGACGGACCGCGATATCTTCTATACCACCTACTGGGAGGGCTCTTGCTTGCCAGCCTTGCACCCGATATTCAAATTCGCCACCTCATTGGCCGCTGGCCATCCCATTCTCAACGACGCCCTCCTAGCTTTATCTGCCTGCAATATTGGCCGCATTCAGGCCGAGCACAGAACAGAATCGTCTGGGTTGATGTGCTCATTGAGTCCTAGTCTGGTTCACCAGACACGGAGTCATCTATACTACTCGTCCGCGATCCAAAAGCTGGCCATCATGCAATCACAAGACTACCATCAGAACCCTACCACGATCCTGATTGTGCTTGTTCTGTTCGCTCATCTAGAGCAAGCTATGGGGAATTTTCAGGGCTTCTATACTCACGTCCGGGGCATGATGAATCTTCTTGAATGGCATAACGGCGTCAAAGACGCAGCCATCAAGTCGCTGCTTGCTTCATGGATGCAAATCCGGTATGTTGTCTGGTGGGCTCGGGCCTATTTCAGTTCGATAGAAGTTTGTCAGCATCTCCCATCGATACCTTTACCGGCCTCCCTATTAGACGTCCCGCAGACATTGCATGAGCGACGTGTGAAAGTTCTTAGCATCATGTGTGAATCACACCGGTTGAATTTCAACGCCGTGCTGCAGCAGTTTCGGAATTTGCAGTCGAACGATGCTAGTGGTTCCGATGTCGACAAACGCTATGTTTATTGCACTGCTCTATTGCATCGAGAAGCGGCAAAGCTGGATGCGTGGGTGTTGCAACTTCCGCCATCTGAGCAGCCAATATACGAGCTCAACGACACAAACGGTACTACCATCCGTTTTCAGTCCCACGATGCCGCGCTGAACTACGCATACTACGCGGTTGCGCGAGCCATGCAGTGCACCGGGGTCTTACAACTCCTCTACAGTTCTGATACCCCTCACCACGAACGGGAGTGTAATGAAGAAGAGTATTGGGTTCAGACATTAGTCCGTATTGCACAGTGGAGCGATATGCAGACATCCATCACCAAAAATAGCTACACCATCGGGTTCTCAGGCTTACTCCTGGCGGGTATTCTCCGATGCCAGAGTCTATCAGTCGGGTTGGAGATCCAGGACTGGTTACAGGCACTCATAAACCTGCAACCAACAGAAGAAGGGGCATTTCCGATCTATCAGACTTTTCATGTGGTCAAGATCATCAATCAACAGAGGGCAATCGGCCGAGATATCTTTGCCGTCACTCAGCCGGTGGATGATGGAGGCGGAACGCCCAAGCTTACTGGCTACAACAGTCAGTCGATCACAAGCCTTCTCTTCCATGGGAAGTACCAGAATTTGGATTGCCTTTTCCAAGAGTGCATCGCCCTGGATGTTTGAATTCGGATAATGTCGATAATGGGGAGTTGAGCACTTTGTCTAATACGAGACACTCAATCTCCTGTTGGACACAGCACCATTGAGATATTCATTATTCTTGGCAGACAGTCAGGCGGCTAAGCGGGGCAGTGCCGGGGATTGCCTGCTTCAGCTCTCTCGGAACAAAATTGAGCCCATCGGATATATCCTTGTATATGCCAGATGCGAATCACGAGATCACCCGCACACTGGCCTTCAATGTCCCTCCAGACGGATTCTCCGCAGAACTCTCAGCGACAGCTGGTTTGAGCCGGTATGGGCCAAGATAAACCGTCAGGAGGCAGTATCTTACATCCATCCCGACGCATTTACTCCACCAATCAGAGACCGGTCACGGTCACTGGTTGTGAAAACCTTATACTTTACGTGCACAGTGGTGGATAGGTTACACAACGGAATTTTCCGTGGGTATAAGCGTATCAGCGCCTGAAAGTTGTCGTCAGTCATTGTGGCGGTTCTCCGCCGGCGTTATCCGGGACACTCTTGTTTCTGGGTATAGAGAGTTGGGTGTCCGATCCGTAAGGGGCTACCCGAGAAGAAATGCAAGTGCAGCTAGTTCGGTTATCTGGAGGCACGGACGGCACGGCGAGCGGGAATGTATGACTGTAGTGACTTGCTGCTGCTGTTGGGAGTCGCGTGGCTCAGATACTCACTGACTCGGCCGATTTACGAGCTGCGTCGCAAAGGCTTTGTATGTGAAGTGGTAAATGGACTATATGCAGCAATGTGATGGATTCTTGAGCTTTCGACTCATCTAAACTATATAATATTAAATACTTCCTGATGATATACTACGAACTGATCTTTGAATTCCAACTTTTGACTTTATCCTCACGTTTTAGCACAAGGCACCACATACAATTGCGAATGAGCCGCATTAAGCCGATAGATGGGTGCTACCTCATCGAGCATCACTATCGTGAAACTTGTCCAACCTCAGCAATTTCTTCGCATTTTCCCGACCAATCGCATAATAATTGTCGACACCTCCCACAGCCTCAACAATAGCGTCCTTGTCATGATCCCACCAGTTACAGCCACTCTCCGTCGTTTCATACGGGTAGTCGACGCTAAACAGCACCCGGTCAACACCAATCTCATTGACCACATACTTCAAAGTCGGAGTAGAGAAGTGACCACTAGTCGTAAGCCATATATTATGCTTAAAGTAGTGGTAGAGGCTCTTCTGAGCCATGACCCGGCCCTCCTCATCCGCTATCGGTTTCTTCACATCCCGGAACCAATGGTCAATCCGCCAGAAATCGAAGGGAATGTGCTCTCCTAGATGACCAATGATGATTTTAAGATTTGGAAAGCGATCAAAAACTCCATTGGAGATGATTCCCAACGTATGGAGACTGACATCATTGGCAAATGATAGAGGCGGGCCGATAAGCGCAGGTCGCTGGGCATAGAGTCTCTCGAGGATGGACCCGGTCGGAGCAGCAGGGTGGATGTACAGCGGGACGTCCAGCTCTGTTAGAGCTTTCCAGAACACATCATATTTCGGCTGATCATAAAACAGGTACGTCTCACCATCGGGACCTGCATGCTGAAAACTGCAAAGCAGCGCGCCGTGAAATCCTAGTTCCTGGACGCACCGACGCAATTCGTTCGCGGCCTGAGCCGGATCATGCATTGAGAGGCAAGCGAAAGCCCCCAGACGGTCCCGATGGTTTTTGATCTGTTCCGCTGCCCAATTGTTGGTCTCAGTGGCCACTCGCTCAGCTTCGGTCTTGTCAAAGATCCCTTGGATGCCGGGAACGGTGAGAGAGATGATGGTGTATCCCACGCCGTGTGCGTCGGCTAGTTTCAGTCGTTCTTGGTTGATGTCGTTGATTTGACGCATGTAGCGGGGACGGTCATTGGGAGCGATGTAGAGACCAGCCTCATGGTTGGACTTTTCTTTCATATTTGGCCTCTCGTAGGCTTCTTCGAGGACGACTTTGCCTAACATTTTGAGGGCTGTGGTGATGATTGTTGAGAATAAATGGTTACTCTTATCCCTGCCCGGTAATAGCTGGACCGGAACTGCTGTTCACTCTCGAGTATCGCCAGGTTTGATGAGTACACTGTATACGGTTTGCGGTCCAATCTCAATAGGCAGGGATGGGAGAAGCAGTGGTTAGTTATGCATTGAATCGATGAAATCATCTTTGTGGGTCTGTCCCTAACTCTATATGACATCATGTTACTCAGCCAAATGTGAGGATAAATCAGGTCTACATCTACAGAATATAAATAAGGCAGGTTCTCAGAGAAGTGGTTCCCCTAGAAGCAAGTATACTAATATAGATGTACTGCTAGTTTGTGATAATTGGCTCTATCAAGCTTATAAACGTCTAACTACGGTCTTCCATTTCTCCCTTATTTTGATATTGAGATGCTTACTAATATTATAATAGTAAAGACAACACTTCAATTATTCGCCAGTAACCATCTGTTCCAGTATTTTGTAGGACTTCGTCGGGCAATATATGGGATGATTCACTTGAGGAGGCCAGAGCAAGAGAGAGCTGAAGGCCGACTCGATCTATCGGTGTAGGTCGTACTTTGCGGGAGAGCGTTATCAGTGGGCATCAAGTGATTGGATGGAATATAATAGTTCTAGCTTTCGGTAGGTGATAATTGATAAGGAATAGTTACTTTGGCAACGTGTCCGAAGGAATTGATTGCGTTGAGATAAGAAAGCGCCCATCTTCCCATACGCTCACTATTGTAGACAGTGACGCACATCGCTCAGTGTGGCTAAAGTTCTAGATACTGCAAATTGTGCATTAAAGTCAGTGTCGTTGGGCATTCATACTGTCAGTTGACGCGTGTGCATGTATCATGCAAGTACCCCGCATCTAGTCATACATAAGACGCTGAATGCCAATCTCGTCGTAAACACAAACCCTCATGGGAAATTAACACCACCCCATTCCTCTTCAAACGACCTTGCTACGCTCGAAACATTCGCTATAATGACAAGAGCAAAGACATCCAAGCTCAAAATCCTTATGATTCATGGTACCACAATAACCGCAAACCCAGATATCATGACCACTACTAATCATGAATCCATGTTGATAGGCTATACTGAAACTGGAGAGTTCTTTCGCTCAGAAGTACTTGACCTGGAGAAGGCCCTTATGGAAGCCTTTCCAGTAGCGCCTGCCCCTGGTTATCATCCCGATTATCCGGATGGCGTAGAGCTCGTATACCCAGATGGCACCTGGAGACTCAAGCCAACCGATTGGGCCCGCTATATACCGGGGACCGATCCAGGTTTTGGATGGTTCTACAAGGTTGACGACGACGATGAATTTCCAGGCTTGCTCGATGGATTGCAAAAGCTTGGTGATATTATGCGCTCGCAGGGGCCCTTTGCCGGGGTCATTGGATTTTCTCAAGGGGGATTCTTGACCGGACTTATCACAAGCATGCTTGAGCCGGGCAGGAAGAGTGTCTTCGAGAAAGTCGAAGTCGAAAGTGGAGGTATTCCATTCCCGAAGTCATTCGATGGAGTCGACCCTATCAAATTTTCGATCAGCTGCTGTGGTTTCGCTGCATTGAACCTTCGATACAAAGCCTTTTATCTGCCAAAGATTTCTGGGCCCATGCTCCATGTAAATGGGCAATTTGATGATATTGTGTACGACAAAAGAAGTCGCACTCTGATTGATGCGACCACAGGTACTGAGGAACAGAAAGTGCTCATTCACCCGGGTGGTCATTCTGTCCCGACTAGCAGATTGTACACGGATGCGATGGTCATGTTCATCAAAAAAAAACTCTCGAATTGATTGACTGCGCGGGCTTGTAGACTGTTATATACTATTTGGGAGCTGCAGCACCTGCATAGCCAGCATTCAACAAGAGATCGATTGCATTGAGAATGTTAGCTGGATGGATCCTAAATACTACACAGGAAAGAATGGAACTAGATATAGGAAGCTAGTTTCATCTGGTCTTTGTGGACGGATGTTTCAAGGAGCCAATGTACCAGGGTAGTGGTTGAGTAGTCCGCTACTTGGCCATGTGCCTTCCAACTTGTGGCACAATGCTTCAACATTCATATAGGTTTACCTGTCACTTGGTTTGGCACTGTAGACCCGTAAATCAAACTTCCGAATATTTGTCCGAAGTGGAGATTACTCTACAGCCCCACCCCATGCTTGATCAAGCAGAAGCTACTACAGACATTCACACAATAATTTACGTTGCTCATGGGTTCGTGCGCAAGCTAGAGAGCGTATATAAGCTCTGCATATGTCCCAGCCGGCAGCTGCACTGTCAGCTTCACAATCTTCTTACCTCAGCTCCCCCTATAACAGTCAAGCTAATATGGACATTTTACGAAGGCATCAGGTTTTTCAATGGTAAGCAACAGTCATATTTTCAAGCTATCTTCAACAAAGTGTCCGGAAGTTCTGCAGTAAAAACAGTGGACTTTTTCTTTGAAGTCATATGACCAGAGTTGGAACCTCCAACCACTTCAGCAGGCACTGGATATGATAAACTTGCCCTCCTCATCATCGGTATCTGTGTCCGTCTGTTCGCCCGGTAGACATACGGCCTTGATTGCTTTGTCTAGCACTCCTTCTCCGATGTATTTGAGCGCTTTCCTGACGAGCCAGCCATCGTCGATGGCGTCGGTCACATCTTGGCATACGGTTTCGTGATTCCGTGCGGTTTCTTCACGTCCTTTATGTTCGTCGACTTGTTTATCTTCTTGGGGTTCACGTTCGTCCTGGTCTGCTTCGTCGTTATGTTCGCTCTCCTCATATTGCCTTGTGACCTCCCTTAGGAAGGCTTCGAAAGAACCTCCGGAGCCTGCATCGGAGGCATCCGAGAATAGCCTTTCCGACACGATCTCGGGCTGCGGCAACAGATCGAACGCACCCGAAGACAAGGTCTCAGGCAAGAAGACATCATCAATACAACGAGCCGCCGCTATCGGCAAGCTCGGATCGTTGGCAATGTCATCAAAGACTTCGTCTGAGAATTCATTGTCAATCGATGACAGATGACCATCGACCAAGTCCCCATCATGCTCGATGTTTAGGGTCTCCCTGCCCTCTTCAAAGAGCGAGAGGCTCAGTTGAGCAGGACCCTCTCCCACAAAGACATAGAACTGGGCCAGCTGGCCCACCACGAGTGCACCGTAAACTGCCCTCCGGCTTCCGCGGGTATTTTGCGTGGTGTATGCATTGCTCATCCGATCTTTAAGGGTAACTTGCAACGTCGGCCAATCGACGGCAGTTGGGCCCGCAACATCTTTCCAAACGAGCATGATAAAGTTGGTCTCTTCGACCGGATGCGTTCGGTGGCTGACAATGACATGGCTAAGGTTGTAATCCCGAAGCCCAACACGGTCCGTTTGCTGGTCGATAGCCTTAATGTCTACCTCACTCAAGCAAGCCTGCATCCGACTGAGCCACGCATTCAGAGAATGGATACGGCTCGGTCTGGGGGTACGGCTAGGTCGAGAGTATGGAACCGAACGTCTCTGGTGTCGTGAATACTTCTTGATGTGTCCCTGTGAGTTGGGTATGGCGGAGCTCACAAGGTCGGAACTTAAGCTGGTATTGCCGGTGGTAGATTGTCTGGAAGACCGGCGGAGTTGTTCAGGATCCTTCTTGTCGTCCTTGGCAGATATTCCTTCGGACCTCCGGGGACATTCCTCATTCTCGGGGCTGTCGTCAGGTGTCAAGGGCTCCATTGGCCGCACGAGAGAGTTGGGCCTGCTCCATACTTGTCTGTAGAAGGTGGGACGAGGCATGGCGGTGATCTCTTCGGGGCTTAGGAAGGCCTCCGAATCAGCCGACATATAGGGCGGACATGAATACCCTTCAGCCCAGCGTTCACCAATCGGACTTTCATCGCTGACACCAGACACTTGGTTCAGCAGGTGCTTATTGGTCTCGGTCCACGTCTCCTTCTCTGACTCTCGTGCATTTTCGTTGGAGATCTTCCCATGTTTAGTGCCGGCGCGCATTGCATGTTTTCTTGTATCAGGCTCAGAGGGCTTGGGCCTGCCCTGTCTATTGGGGCGTGAGGCAGGCATGTTGATTGACAGAGAGGCTTTTCTGCAATGCACTCTTGCTATGGTAATGTCTTGATATGATAGCAAAGTGTCTTACTGCCGGTGCTGGAGGAGATAGGAAACATCTTAGTCCCTGGAGAGGAAATCGGGGTATAAAAAGGGGGCCCTTCGCTAGCGGCATGACAGTGACGAGTCTGTCCAGCCCTGCCCTTTGGTTCCAGGCGTAGCTCGATGAATGATAGCAATATCTCCGTGCATGATGGTAGACAGTGCCGTTGTCTTCTGTGGCGAATTCCAGTCATGATAGTGGAATAACAACGGTTAACTCCCTCCTTGAGATTCAGCGGAGGATGCGCCGTCTTTTGATTGAATTGCTGTGCAACCTTGTTATATTTTTATCCAATAGCAAAAATCCCTCGTTATGCTAAGCAGGTGTGAATTTTTGGCTTAGTGAAGGACGGGATGTTGTTTCAGGGCAACTAGTGAGAAGGCGTGAATACAGTCAAACAAATTCACACTTGTCAGTGAAGTATTGATTCCTCAGGCATAAACATACTACAACTACTGCTTTGAATTCAAAATTCATGAAAATTGGCTTCAAGTCTAGCTGAAATTGCTACTTTGCTGTGTTATTCTATGTAGTGAATTCTTTATCCATGAAATCCATCTATCCTACAGCAGTGAAGCAGATATACTACGTATCATGTAGCTTAGCTTGTTCTGCAGGCTTGAATCATTAACTTTTTCCGTTCCGCTACAATCTCGACGCGTCATGTGACCTGCTGGCAGGGAGACGTGCCCGGTCCACATCCCCATTGTTTCCCCACAATTTATTAGGAGACTGCCAGACTGCGCGTCCAAAAAATATGGGGTTTATCGATTTCATCAAGGACATTTTGCGTCCGGGCAATGGGGTGGATTACCCAAAGCCAGGTGACATGGTGACAGTGCATTACCACGGCTATCTTTACGACCCGGCACGGTCAAGGAATCGAGGGCGTCGGTATGTTCCTATTCATCCGGAAGACACGGCTTGCCGTTTGTTCCAGCCTTCTTTGCATGGCCTGGGCTGTCCTAAGTACTTATGATTGTTTATTCTGCTGCAGATTCGATAGCAGTATTAAACGGGGATTTCCTTTTACTTTCAAGGTCGGTGTCGGCCAGGTTATCAAAGGTGTGTCATTCAGACGATGCCCAGTAATCCGTGCAGGTTAGGCTGATGATTTCCAGGATGGGATGTCGGTATCCTGGGGATGAGTCTGGGTGAGAGAGCATATCTTACCTTTGGCCCGTATGTCTGATTCACAATGGCTCTTCTTTCAACATGTCCACTACTAACCAGTCCATATGTACTACAGTCACTATGGATACGGCGAGAAGTAAGTTCTATTCTATGGACAAATACCGGAATTCGCGCTGATGTGTTTCGCAGGGGAGCCCCTCCATTTATTCCTGGCAATTCAACCCTCGTCTTGTAAGTGCTTACCCCAAACCAAGGCTTCTTTCGACTCACAGATATGCAGTGATGTCCAGCTACTGGCCATTAATGGCCGAGGAATTGAGTCGGATGAATCCGAATAAATGTACAATAGTATCTTTGTTGCTCATTAATGTTCACATTATACACCATTCCCCTGCCTCGTATCATCATATTGCAGTTTCAGATATAGAGTGCCCCATATCACTTTTGCTCGATATATCTTATCCCTCATCGCCCTCTTGCATCAATCTTTGCTCTCCTCAAATAGATGCCGCTGCAGCACGAATAACCTCAGCCACCCGCGAAGGCTGACTTATCTGTGGCATGTGGCCAGCACTGCACCGCTCAATCTGGCTTCCGGCCAGGTTCGCTAGTTGCTCCTGCAGGCCCGCTGGAAGAGCATTATCTCCCTCGCAGACGAGGTAAACACTGGGGACATCCTTCCACCCAGCGTAGGGTACCGTGCCGTTCCAACCATCAGCCGGCTGGGGCTTAAGCTCAGCCAGCCACTCTGCCTTTTCTGGCTCGGGGACATCGTCCAAAAGAAGCACCTCGGGCTTGGCACAGTACATCGCACCTCCCTGTCAAAACGCCCGTCAGCCATGATATCTTTTGATCAAGGAAAGATGCGGAAACAACCATGAGATGATGGGAGCAAAAATCACAATAAACTGGATAACCAACCTCGACAACAGCAAACGGCATATCCTCGTGCTCGTGGCCTTCGGGGAAAACCGCTGCAGTCAAGAAGACAATCTTGACGACTCCACCCTGTCCGACAGCCGACTTGCTCAGGCCCTCCATGGCAGCGCTACCGAGAAATCCACCGGCTGAGTGCAATACAAGAATAACCTCTTCTCCGCGCTGTACAATGCTCGTCAGATGGTCGCGTACGGCGGCTATGTCATCGGCCATGGCCGGGTTCCCGGGCGAGATGGTGCCTGTGCTGGGTAGTGTGCAGACATCGGTCTTGAAACCGGCAGCCTGCAGGAGATCGCATACGGGGGTGAAAACTTTTGGGCCCTCCCAGAAACCGGGGACGAAGAGGATTGTGGGTGACATCGTGGCTGGGTGATAATGGTACGGTGGGTGAGCTCACGGTAGTCAAAACTATGG